GACACGTAGGAGGCCCTTGTTTTAGTTTCTATTGCTGTACAATAAACCACCCCAAAACTTCGTAACTTAAAACAACAATTACGTGCTAACTCTCAGGATTCTAGGGGTCAGAAATGTAGGCAGGTGTCAGCAGGTGGTGGTTCTGCTCCATCTGGCATCAGCCGGGGTCACTGACTTGGCCATGTTCAGCAGGTCAGCTGAAACATCCAAGAGGGCTTCACTCACACGAATGGTGCACAAGGGTTCTCCCTAGGCCTCTGCACATGGCTTGCATGGACTTTCTTACAGCATGGTGGCAACATTGTATTCAAGCTATGCTCAACTTGGAAGAAGAGTCTCCCATCTTCTCAGAAGGCAGTTAGACTACCCGCAAAGCTGCCAGACCTCTCAAAGGCCAGATCTGGAATTGGCACAGTGTCACTTCTGCTGCATTCTACTGGCTAAAGCAAGTCATGAGGAAGAGAAGGCAGATACCACCTCTGGAAGGGTGGATTGATACCCACACAGAGATGGGAAAGAATGTCCTTGAAGTCTACCTAGCCCTAATCCCTTTATTCATAATCTTCTCTCTCTGTGTTTTCCTCCCCCTTTTTCAAGAAAGTAGCTAGGACTTTAGGTTCTGTCATTTTGAAACTGACTAGCTAGCTTAGGCTTAGGGAGGAATGAAAAATTACTGTTACTGAGCTGGAAGTTAAGACACTTCCTGGGACATGTAACAGTCATAACTTCCTCTGGTTTGTAAATGACATGAAACAGACACACACAAACACATACATACATACATACACACACACAAACATACACACACACACACACACACACGAAAAAATAGATAAAAACCCTTACCCTCCAGCACATTTCCCTCTTGGAGATCATGGGAGATCGCTCTCTCAAGTGTACACTTTTGGTTTAAAACTCTTTACTTTTTGTGACTCGTCCTTGAATTCTTTCCTGTGACTAAGCTAAGGGCTTGATCTGGGCCTCTCAGGAAGAGACTTCCAACTCCCCAGGGAGTCGACCACAGTAGTGCACTGGGCCTAACTTGGAATCACTGTCTTTCTCTTGCTGAGGCAATCCTCCCCAAGTTCACCGGCATCAAGTTCAAGGGTGAGGCAGGGCCGGGGGTGTCATGACCAATAGGGACCTGCATTCATCCTCATGGCAACACAATGTGGAGGTGAGAAAACTTCAGGAGTGGCTCAATGATTCGTCTACAAAGGCCAGACCAGATGCCCCAGGGCTCCCAGCCTCACTAAGTTCAACTGCGAAGCAGAAAAGCAGCTCACCATCTTCTTAGACACCCTGCCAGCTGGGACAGGAGTATGTCAGTGGTGCCATGATAAACTGGAGAGAGGACCTCCCTCATTTTCCCCATACCACAGAAGCCTCCTAATACTTAAGGGATCCCAAAGAAGCAGAGGGTCCTCTAATAATGACTCAGGTAGTATTTTCTACCAAAGAGAGAATAGGGCTCAGGTGGGATTTGAATTTAAATAAAATGTGACACTTCTTACAACTGAGATTCATGTATATTACACTATTGTTAGAACACTGGTCCCCAAGATTACCAAAGTCATACAGAAGTCAGATAAAAATGTAGGAAGCTCACATCCTATACCATTAACATTTCAAAATAAAAACAGAATCCCTCATATTTGTATTGGGCAAAACCTGGAAGTTGCTTTGTTGGGATTTTAAGATTGGGTGTTTATAACCTGGGTTGTTTTCCTGGGCCACAGGGGTGATCCCTTGGTCCTGGCCTACAGAGTCCTTTCTGAGAGCTCCAAAGGCTGGAGTACGAGCATTGTCCATCCTCTGGATTTATTCCTTTTTTTTTTTTTTTTTTGAGTTGGAGTCTCTGTTGCCTAGGCTTGAGTGCCATGGTACACTCACGGCCACCCCAGCATCGCTCTGCTGAGCTCAGGCAATCCTTCCATCTCAGCCTTCCAAGTAGCCAGAACTACAGGCGCGCCCTACCACGCCAGGCTAATTTTTATTTATTTGGTCTCGCCAAGTTGCCCAGGCTGGTCTCGAACCCGCAGGTTCAGGCCATCCACTGGCCTCAGCCTCCCAAAGTGCTGGTGTTACAGGCTGAGCCACGGAGCCCGGCCTGGCCTCATCCCTTTCACACAAGCCATTTGCCCACCTGGGCAGCAATGGACTCAACCCCTTGGGAGAAGTCCAGAAGAGCCCGCTTCATGGTGCTAGAGAAACTAACAGCTGATGTACTCTGGCCACCAGCAGGAGACCTTGATGACAATCAGGACCTATGAGTGTTAATATTCCTTCTTTCCACATCATCTGAGAGCAGGTGTCACATAAGCTGTAAGTCACACAGAACTCTATGAGTGGGTACTCTTGTAGCGGTCAGTGCTGGCCAAAGGGCCCAGCAAACACAGAGCTCATTTTGAACTGCAAGTGCCCATTCCAGGGAGACGGAAGCAAACTGGCCAGGAAAAGGTGAATCATCTTCAGCCCTAGGTGTGGGGATAGGATGAACTACAATAGTCGGAGTAGTGAAGGCTGAGGGCAATGAACAGAGTAAAGCCGGTAGCTTTGCGAGCAGTGCTGTGCTGTGCTCCACTGGGAATGACTTTGGGCAGCTGCTCTGTCTTGTCCTTGAGGGTCAGAGGCCAGGCTGCTCCAGGTGAGTTACGGTAGGACACACTAAGTTCCCTTCTTGGCCATTCTACTTTCCCATAGGAAAACACCATTGCCCAACGGTGAGAGATTAAAGGGAATGAGCTCTTTAAATGTCCGGGGGCTGACACATTGTTTACACTGATAGTGGGCAGGAGTCATGAACCCCAAGAAAGAAGAATTGCTGGTATTTGCTGTTGACCCTGGTGCCTGAGTCCCGAGTGGAGAGTGCTGGCACGCAACAGAAAACCCAGGTCTAAGTCTCAGCCAGAAACTCCAAGAAAGAAGAATTGCTGATATTTGCTGTTGACCCTGATGCCTGAGTCCCTAGTGGAGAGTGCTGAGGGCAACAGGAAACCCAGGTCTAAGTCTTGGTCCTGCCCCAAATTGTCTCTCTGGCCCAGGGTAAGTCATATCACCTGAGCCTGTTTCCCAACCAGCGATTTGCTAGAGTACTGAGGCTCTAGCACAGAGCCTGGGATGCTTAGTGTCCATGTCAGTTTTTGTCCTTCCTTCAGTCACTGGAAGACTGGACATCTGTCCCAGAGAGAATGTGAGAATAACAAGGGCCAAAGTGTATGAGTGTTAGAGGGAAGAGGGAGGGAACAGCCGCCAGAGGCATATGGTCCTTTCCTTTTCCCCATCAGGCCTCAAGGGACCCAGTGATCTGAATGGTTAACACTGACTGCAAGGAAGTGAAGTCAATGTCTAAGGAATTTAGAGAAAGTTTCTTCTTCATAATGGGTTTTTGGATGAGCTGGCCCTCGATTGGGAAGTTAGACAGTAGGTACATCATATGTGCTTACCCAGCAGCTCCATACACTGGGGTACTTGTAAGACAAGCTACTGGGGTGATCACGACAACAAAGCCCCAACTTGGAGGACCTCCCCCATACAGAAAATAGATGGCACAGCAAGACTGACTGTTGCCCTTTGAAAGTCCTGCTTACAAGGTGGGCCTGGGGCTAGTGTCTGGAACTTGGATTTCAAGAGGGTTCCCACCACTCCCAAACTGTTATGAGTGGCTCAGGAACCTAAACTGCTTGTATAAACAATGTGGCTGATGCTGAATACTATTTTCCTTCGATGACTCTGGGGCTTTGATTATGTACCATGAAAAAGGTAACTATGTAACCAGCCCCCAGTAAAAACCCTCAGCTCTGATTCTCTGATGAGCTTCCCCTGATTGGCAATATTTCACACAGCAAGTTGCCACAACTCATTGCTGAAGAATTAAGGCTAACCTTGCAAAGACCCTTGTAAGCTTGTATCTGGTATACCCCAGACTTGGTCTATGTGCCTTTTCCCTTTGTTGATTGTGCCTGGTGTGACTTTGCTAGAGGCCAGAGCTGTGACTACAACTACTGAGTCCTGTGAGCCCTCTTAGTGAATTACCAAACCTGCAAGTGGTTTTGGGAACCCGACACATCCCCTGGTCTTGGACTTCCAGGCAAGGCCAAGACACCAAAGCCCCTGCTGCTGGACGGGGCCCCAGACCAGGACTCAGGTCATTAATGGCAGTTATTGATCTTTCTGCTGAATTCCATTCTCCTCTCCCAACCTTCACACCCACTCTGAGGAACCTTCTGAGTTGAGGAGATGGATTCTTGGGGGTGGATCTCTAAGGAAGTTCTACCGGACAGTGCTGATATAGAAGGAAGCAGGATCATCTATCCCATTTCTAAAACTGTAATGCAGAAACATGGGATCAAATGCTTTGCTTGCTAAGATTCAGCTGTCCTGCTCACCTGACACAAGCAAATGACATCACAGCACCATGACCTGAGGATAATGCAAACCCATGGCAACGGCTTGCAAAACCACCCTGCATCAGGCAGGAAGTACCAATTTCCCAAAAAGGGAAACTGAGGCCCAGCTGTTACCACCCATGCAATGCACATTTCTACAACCATTGTTTTCTCACATTCCCATCTCTCTCCTGCCCCAGATCATGAGGCTCTCGAAGGTGGTACCATGCTTAGGTGCTCAGGGCTGAACAGATCTGACTCACCCTGGGTTCCACAGTTCATTAAGGGCAGGAAAGGGATTTGATTCCAGGTCTTCTGTCTCCCAGGGCAACATTCCTTGTTAGGAAAAAGCCCTGGTACACGGCATGGTCAAAACTCCTTTTGGCCCAAACCCTGCATGTTCAGGAGCGTCCAGATTAGAAAGAAAATCACAGAGCAGGCCCTCAAGGACACTTCAACCAGTGATGAGTCCCTGGACTGAGCTTCTTTTCTCTGTCCCTGGATTTCTTAATTTCAGAAGGCCAGCATCAACCAGCTGACCAGAAGGAACCAGCTCCACTATTTACCCCATTACTCTCTGAGTAGAGATTAGAAATAAACCACACAACAGAAGCAGGTAAGAGACATGATTTAATTTTACAAAACTATGACAATACAGCAAGATTTGATCGGGGTATTGTTTCTTTTTTCTGTCAAGTAAAGTTTGTTTTAAAACACCTGGAATATAAATTGGAAACATAACCATTTCAAGGAAACAGAGTCATTTAGAAAAACAAGAGAAAACAGCAAGCAGCAATGGCAGCAGCAACATGGGGAGAAATTGGTTCTGCTATGAGGACAAAACAATCAAACACCAATGTGAACCTGACACCAAGCTGAGTTGAGGGGCGGGACAAGGGTGGGCAGTAACCATCAGAGAGGCCTGAAGGTTTCCCAAGTGGGGCCATACTGATGACTGCTGGTCAGTGGGTGGAGGGAGAAGCAATGGCCTCCTGTGCACAGGCCCATCCCACCCTCTTACAGGGCCTATCAGCCATGTGGCAGTGATTCATAGCCAAATCCCGAAGGACTGGCGCTGTACAGCTGGCTTCCTTATCTGTCACCTGCTCCAAACCTGTGGCTGTGCAGGTTACTGTCCCACCACGGTGAGCTCAGTGGGTGGTAACTCATCAGAATATCAACATACTCTAGGGTGGCAAACTTGCCAGGGAGAATTTAAAAGCTAGATGTATAGGACTGCATACCAAACACTTTTTTGGAATGTTTGCACCACAGCCAAGGCAGAGTTAGGACTACTTTGGGGAAGCAGACTAGGAACACCACCAGCAATATTCCTAGCCTTTTCCTCTAGGAAAAGTGTGTCCAAAGAACACTGGGTGAATTCTTGACTACAATCTGAGGTAATCTAATCATAACTTGCACGGGTAGCTGACGCCAGGCCCAAAAAATGGAGGGAAGAAGGGCAAAAAGTTGCCACAGAGAGAAAAGGCTAACATATAGAACAGAAGAAACTACATTACAAGAGGGCTCAGAGATGACTGGAATGTGGCCTGAGGCCGGGGTGGCTGGTGGTGGGGCCCACGTGGACCCTGGGTGCACACAGCTCTTGTACTACTTGATGTTGCAGGAGTGTGGCAGGAGATAAGGGAAGGCATAGAGGACTTCCTGGCCCAGAGCAGCAGCAACTGTGAGGGAGATGTGTCCTCTTAAACACTCAGTCCCCTGCTACTGACTCCTGTGTCATGATGGGGATGAGCCAGAGAGACTGGGGACTCTGGAGTGAGGAGTCTCAATATTCCTTTCAGCTACAATTCCTCTCCCTGAACACTCTGTGGGGGGGACTATTCTGCTAGACTTCATTTGGAAACCACATATGAGGTCCCTGAAGGTGAGGGAGCAATCAGACTCTAAGCTATCACTGAAAGAACAATTTTAAAAGTGTTGTTAGACTCTCCTCCTTTTTTTAAACACTTATTCACATTCTTTTTCTCTTCTGCTCCTGCACTCAGAATTCTAAGTCAGAATGGAATGTTCTGAAGGTTTAGGAGGCAGCAGTTATGTGAACATTAGTATTTTCTCTGTTTTCCACATTTTCGTGAACGCATTCTAGGACGGAGCTCACCAAAGTCTTCAACTTCATTTTCATAATCATCTTCCTGAATGATACCTGTTTAAAAAGAAAAAGAAAAAGCACAGGGTGGATCAAGATGGCTGATTAGACACAGGTAGTATGGGCCACCTCCATGGAGAGGAACCAGAATAGTAAGTAGATACATTTTAAACAGATCTCTGGAGAATGCCAAGATTCACCAGAAAAGTGATGGGAAGCACCAAAAGTGAGTACGGAGAGTGCTCAAGGCAGCTTGCCGGGTGGAGGACTGAGAGCCAGGAGGGTTCCTGGATGCAGGAAAACAGCAAGAGAGAAACGCCAAGGGCACCACACTCTGAACAAGCAATTAGTCCCTGGAGAAACCTTTGAGCCACTGGGGCTTTGGGTCTGACATAGGGAGCTGCCTAGAGACGGCACAGAGACATTGCTCCAGAAAAGAAATGCCCTGGAATCCCACAGGCATCCAACCTCAGCTGGGTGCCATTTTGAGAGCCAAAATACTGGGGATTTAGAGACACAGCTGCTGCCACTGTGCTGCTCCAAGAAGGGAGGGGGAGAACAGGTGCTCCCATGCACCGTGAGAGAGTCCTGCAGCTTGCTGCATGCTGGTGTTGAGATCCAGACATGAGTAGACCTCACTCCCCATAGTTTCTTGCCCACACAGCTTGCCTGGATGGTGCCACGCCCCCTCTGCCCCAGGCCCGATGCGTCATTTTGAAAGTTTAATGCTGGGCTGCCGTTGAGCTAAGTTTGGGCTGACACTGCTGCAGTCACTGCCTGGCTGAGGAGGGTCAAGGAAAACAGAACCTCCTATGCATATCAAGGGCAATATCCACTGCCCAACAACGTGCTGCTGTGAGACAAAGACGTGAGGAGACCGCACTCCCCACAGATTCTTGCCCAAAGTGCCTGCCTAGAAGGGACCCTGCTGCCAAACCCCCAGGCCCCAGACGCCAGGCCCCAGCTCCCTTTCCCCACATCCCTCACCCTGTCACAGGCCCAAGGGGCCTTTTGATAGTTTAACCTGAGATATGCCCTATACTGGGCTGAATTTGAGGCAATAAGGCTAATGCCAGCACCCAGCTGGGGGAGGGATAAGGGAGACCAAGTTCTCCTAAGCACACTTAGGACAATACCCACCACCCTGCCGCAGGAAGCTGTGGGACTGGGGACTAGCCCACCCAACCCACTGCAACTTCCAGCAACACTAACAGGACTGCGTGGGTCCCAGGGGGTTGCTCTACCACCCATACCACACCAGATGTCCATGGGACTAAGAACAGTTCACCACTCCTACTACTAGCTTCTGAGCAAGTCAACTGGAGGCCCAAGAATTGGCCCTCCAGGAACCACTAACACCAGTGTGAGTGTAAGCTGCACTGGGGCCTAACAACAGGCATACTCAACCCACTGCTTCCACCAATGGAGCCCGAAGACTGGCTCAGTTGGCATCTGAGACCCCAGCAAAATCCTAACACAACCACAACTAATAACTGTACCTTAGAAGCCACTAAGAAATCACAGATACCACGGATCCTGTGTACAGCCGAAGAAGTCACACAAAGATCACACTATTACAGGCACCCAAAATCAAAGCCAAAGTATCCTGTTCAACCAACAACATACATACATCCTCAGGAAAAAATTCTCCCCTAAAAAACCAATTTCAAAAAATTGGGACAAGCGCGTGCTATACCAGAAGTACAAATATCAATGAAAGGACACAGGAAACATGCAAAAGCAGAGAAAGATGACACCACCAAAGAATCACAACAATTGTCCAGCAACAGATCCCAATCAAAAATAATTTCTCAAAATGCCAATAAAGAACTCAAAATATTGATTTTAAAGAAGCTCAATGCGACACAAGAGGAATCTGATAACCAATACAAAGAGATCAGAAAAATAATTCAGGAAATGAAAATTTACCATGAAAAGAGATCTTGAAAAACAACCAAACAGAAATTATGGAACTGAAAATTCATTGAAGGAAATACAAAATACATTCAAAAGCTTCAATAATAGAATTGACCAAGAAAAGACTCTTGAAACTTAAAGATAGATTGTTGGAAATAATATAGTCAAGAAAAAATAATCAAAAAGAATAAATAAGGCCTGTGAGATGTCTGGGACTACATAAGGGACCAAACTTACAAATTATTGGTATTTTCTTTTTTTTTTTTTGAAAGTAGTATTTATTGAGAGGACAGAAAATTTCCCACAGTGGGAGGGGACCTGAGGGGGTTTGCCCTATTGGTATTTTCAAGGGAGAAGAGAGATCAAAAAGTTTAGAAAACCTTTTAAGGAGATAATTATGAAAACTTTCTAAGTCTAGCAGGAGAGTTAGACATCCAAATACAGTTGGCCCAGCAATCTGCAAAATACACTGCAAAAAGGGCTACTATGGTATATTATATTCAGAATGACTAAAGTCAATGCAGAAGAATTTTAAAACTCTCAAGAGAAAAGTATCCAGTCACCAATAAAGGAAAGCCCTACCAAACTAACAGCAGACTTTTCAGCAGAAACCTTAAAGGCCAGAAGAGAATGGATTGGCATTTACTAAGTGTCAAAAGAAAACTAAAAAGCCCAACCAGATTTTTTATTGGCACAGACATTTGTGCCAAGTCCCTTCAAGTTTTCCCCATCTGGGGAGTCTAGAATTTCCAGGAGCATCTGGGGTTGGTAAAATACCTGCAGCAAAAAGAAATGTGATCCAGCTGGGAGGGGGCAGCAGCTAGAATGGGCAAGAGGAAAGACATTCTGGATCACACAGAACTCGGTAAGGTAATTCTGAATGCCAGAAAAAAATTCATTCTACACAAGTTTTTAATGCTCTGTAGGAAGATAAATGCAAGTTTCCCCAATAATTTTGCTTCTTTTGTTCAAAAGTGCATCCCCAGGCCCAGAACAGCACTGACATATATTAGACACTCAATAAATATCCACTGACTTAAACGAATGATTGACACAGGAAAACATATTTATCAAGGAATGGCTTTGCAATCCTTTGTCTGTCCTTGGGAGTCACTGTATATTGAATATGCACAGTGACTGAACATCATCAAAATCAGTTCATGAGCAGCAAGAGGCTTTTAGCAACTAACATCAGCCTGGAATTATGGCCCTCATAGTCAGAGAGGAAAATACAGATATTATGTTGCTAACAATTTCACACACGGGGTGATGTCCCCAGACAGTGAGAGGACACTATTGACATCACTGGGAAGTCACACCTCAGATTCACTTGGGAGCTAACAGTATCAAGAACCACAGGACTTAAAACATTACCTGACCCTGGAATAAATGACTCCTTACCTTCTTTGTTTAAGTGGAACTCTGTTTTCATCAGCCACTCTCGTGCATTCCCGACTGACTGGACCAGAATGTTGACCAGCCGAGTCATCACCTCCTCCGCTATAGAACAAACCAAAGAACAGGGGCTCTGAGTGAAAAGGCTGCTATAGAGACCAGAACACTTAGTACTGGAGCCAACACCACCACCCTCACCCCACCTCCACCAGGAGCTGGTCTCTGTGCGTTCTCTGAAGAGAGCCCTCCTTATAGGGTGACCCAGAGCTGCCTTCTGCGGCCACAAGCATAAACTACAATTAAAGGCTAGCCTGATGCCACTACTGTATGTCTGTAGAGATTGTCAATTGCAAACATTTTCAGGAACTTTCATGTTCAGACTGTCATTAAGCCTTAAACTGAAAAGAGTGGTTGAACTGTAAAATGTTTTAAAATATTCAATTTCACTAGGTTTACACATAACATAACTTCCACTCAGCGCTGCCAAGAAGCAGCTAATAAGGCAGCTAGGGGAAACCTGATTCTAAGACCATATGTGAATTCTTCTAATTAAAGGCTTACACTGGGACCCTCCTAAAAGGACTTAAGAGACAAGCTACACAATTCTAGATCTCAGTCAAGGGTTCAGTCCATAGTAGGTGCTCAAGAAATGATCATTCACCTCATCAATAAGGGTACTTGCACAATGAACATTTGTATACCTAACCCTGAATTAGACCCCACAATTTCAAAATAAAAACAACAACAACAACAACAAAAAGAAATGATCATTCAATAATGAATCAAGGAGAACTTTCAAGAATTTTCTCAAGACTTTAGGGCTGGGCATGGTGGCTCACACCTGTAATCCCAACCCTTTGAGAGGCTGAGGCAGGAGGACCACTTGATGCCAGTTCAAGACCAGTCTAGGCAATACAGAGGGACCACATCTCTACAAAAAGTAAAAAAAAGAAATTAGCCAGGGATAGCAGTGTGAGCCTGTAGTCCCAACCATTTGGGAAGCTGAGGTGGAAGGATCACCTGAGCCCAGGAGGTAGAGGCTAAAGTGAGCCATGATGGTGTCACTGCACTCTAGCCAGGGCAACAGAGTGAGACCCTGATTCAAAAAGAAAAAAACAAAGACTTTAAACATTCTCCCTATATCCTCTGCATAGAATTATTTAGCAAACTGTTATCTCATCCATAGCAACTGGGGAAACAATCCTGGCCAAAGATAATCACAAACTTTTAATTGGGTGAGGGACCGTCCAAACAATGAGGTTTTGCTGTAATTTGAGAGCATACATTCCTCACTTGTATGCTAATACAAGATTCCACCATCCTGAAGTCAGAAGTTCCTACAAGTGATTTAACTGTGATTAGCAGTCTCCAGCTTGGGTCTAACCCTGCCTGGGCTCCCATCTCCGCAGGCCCTTACCGCCAGCCCAGGCCTTTCGTCTGTAGAGGTCTTCCACTGTATCTGAAACCCTCTTGATGTGCTCCTGGACCTTCCTCTGCAGCATGTGGCTATGCTCCTTAGAGCCTACGTGACTGTGGATCCACACGCTCTGCTCAATGTCCTGCACCACCAGCCTGCCTTCATCAATGGCTGGGTCCACCTGCTCATGGAAAAATTCCGAGTATTTCTGGTAGGCCACTTGCTGCCTCTGGTGGCTTTCCAGCTGGATGTGCTGCTCATAAGTCTCGCTGTTCCTCTCCTGACACTCCTTCCCTTCCAGCTCGGCTCTGGAAAGGACCGCAGCCTCTGAAGCCACACCCTCAAATGCTTTACTGGGGCTGAAATAGTTCTCAGGGTTCCGGGTGAACTTCACCCCACATAGGTCACACTGGGTCCTGTCCACATCAGCCTTTTTGAAGTTCCCGGCCCCAGGGTCCCTGGCCTCCTCCCTGACATGCTCCGTCTGGGCTCCCACTCTTCTCCTCCAACTGATGCACAGGGATACCACTAGGCATGCCCTTCTCAACTTCCGCTGGATGGAGGCCTTCCGCTGCTTCTGAGAAAGGATGGTGGCCAGGACATGGTCTCGGTCTTCCAATGCCAGCTCATCTGTCTCATCCTGACCAAACTCACACTCAGGCTCGGCAGAGTGGTCCACGGGTTCTACACAAAGCAAGCGGTTTAGCTTAACCTCCTCATGATAGAGGCCGCGGACCACAGACCCTTTGGTGTGCACGCTATCCCACCTCCAGTGGCAGTCCATCAGGTACTCTTCATCCCGCTCCAAGAGCAGGTCCTGCAGTGCCTCAGCCACAGACTTCACGTTGGTTGCCATCAACACCTGCCTCACCACCTTCAGGAGCCTCTCGGGAACCTGGTCTGGGCAGTCCATACTCATGAGCTGCAGCCTCTTCTCAATCTCCTGGAAGTGGCAGTACAAGAGAGGCTTGCAGTATGGCTGTACGATCTCCTTGGTATTCACTAGCATCACCAAGCACAACACCAGTGTCCGCTCAGCCTCACCCGAAACCACATAGTCTATTTCACTGAAAGCATCAAGCAGAACGTTGAAGTTCACATTCTCAGAGCCACACAGCACCCTGACGAGGTAAGTGAGGTGGAACCGGAATTTCTGAATGGCTCTTGTTACATCCTTCGGTTTGTATTCCTGAATGATGGAGAACACATCCCCAGACTCCTTGTCCTTCTTGCTAAAGATGAACTCCCAGTAGTGCAAAAGTGCAATGTAGCTCTTGGGGAGGCACAGGATGGCGTTCTTCCAGAGGCGGGCCAGCACTACCCCACAGTGGACAAACTGGAACTCTAGCAGGGCCACTGTGTTCCCAATGTTGGGGATGAGTGGTTCTTTGCACCTCTTGATGAGGAAATTCATGAAACGAAAAAAGAGCCTCTTGTAGTCTTCTGGGTTCCTGTACACATAGAACTGGTCGATGCAATTCTCCAGCAGTCGGATGAAACACAGGTGGGTCTTGTCAGAATTTCTGTCATCCTTGTTGGGCACCAACATGCCAAATTTCCCTTCAATTCCTTTCACCCTGCTGCCTCTCCCCCTGCCCCTTTCCTCTTTTTCAGACTCTAGAGTTTTGAGCTCTCTGTTGTAGTTGTCCTCCTCCTGATGGAGTAATTTTTCAAATTCCTCCGGGTAGCTGGAGGAGAGAAGGAAAGCCTGCATGGCACTCAGCCACAGGTCTGTGGATTCTCGGCGGCTGCGGGCCGTTTCGTTTTGAAACAGTAAGTGGATATACTCTTTCAAAGCAAACCTGAAAGATCGGAAGGATTTGTAACTTGGTTTGAGAATTTCTTTGCACGCCATGGGGTTTTCTGACAACACTCTCTGATGGAAATGCTTAGGGAAGAGGACATTCAGGAAGGATTTGCAAAGGTCATACATATCTGTAGACAAAATATAATCAATTGTTCCAAGTTCTTCAGCCAAGATGTTAGGGAATACATTTTTAGCTTCCAGAAGCAATCCCTTGATTGCCACCAGGTTTATTTTCGACTGAACTAAGCACTTGGCCTCACAACGCCGCAGAGGCCTGTGAAAATCTTTACAGTTTTCATCCTTACATTTTAAGCCTACAATAAACTTCATGCAGACCCCTGGGAAGGTCTTCCCAAGCAGGCTTTGTGTGATCTGACACAGCCTGCTCAAAAGGTGTTTGTTTAGGGCTAATTTCACTAGGTCAGTCATTATCAAAAAGTAATCTTTTGTTTTCTTCTCTTTCAAGTTCAAATCCAGGTCAAAAATTATTCTTAATATGGGCCCAGGGTCATTCTGAGCTATCTGGCAATACTTGGCATCCACCTGGGAAATCCCAAAAAACTCAAAGCAGGACTTGACCATTTCCTTTTCAGCATTGTTTGTCACTCTTTTGAGGGCCCTGACCAGATTGAGAAGGACTTCCAAGCCCCCTGGAGCCAGGGCCAGAACCTTCTCAGACTCAGCCTCACAGTGGCTAGCTGCCTCGTAGAGGGCTTCTACTACTCCGGCTGAATGATTGAGCGTATCAAACTTGAAGAAGGCATCCTTGAGTTTCTGAAAGTCTCTCAGTATTACTCCCTGCAGGAAATGGGCCTCAGCAATGCCAGACATCTGGCGGGTTTGATAGCAGAGATCAAGTGCTTCTCTCAGAATGACCTTGGTATGTTCTATGTCAGAATCTCTGGCCACATTGAGGCGGGCGACGCCCAGCAGACACGAAGCCTGGAAATCCTTGTCAGCAGTGAGTCTGGCAGCCTCCAGGAGGCAGCCATGTTGCTTCATCAGCAAGGCAGCTTCCTCTCTCCTACCTTCCCTGTTCAGCAAGTCTGCAGCCTCTGCTAAGCGTTTCCGAGACTTCAGGAACACCAGTTGGTCTTCTATGTCTAGCTTCGAGAGGACAACCATCATTTCCTTGATCTTATTTGCACTCAGGTACTTGGCAGCAGCTTCCAAGTAAAACTGACTAGCAGAATAGGAGAGCTTGGAAATGGGAAGGGTCTTGGTCTTTAACATTTCTTCATACCTGCAAAGACAGGATGCAAATGTCAACCTATCACTAGCCAATAGAAAATTTCTTCCAGGATACAGTCACAAGAGCAACTTAAAACTACCACATGTAGATACTACAAAATAAGACCTAAACTTGTCAAGTATTCATATAAATGCTTCATTTTACACTGTTATCAGTATAATAACAATGAATAATAGATTCTTGATTCTTCAATCAGGCATTAGTGTGCTTTGAGTGTTAAGTATGAAAGTCAATCTGTATAATAAAATTTACACACAGTCAACATTATCCTTGAAAAACTTCCCTTCAGCCCTCATAAAAGCATGGTGATCATTTTGGGAATACAACTCTGTTAAGTTTGATAAGTGATTTTTTTTTTTTTTTGAGTTGGAATCTCACTCTGTTGCCCAGGCTGGAGTGCAGTGGCATGCTCGTGGCCACCACAGCCTTGACCTGCTGAGCTCAGGCGATCCTTCCACCTCAGTCTTCCAAGTAGCTGGAACTATAGGTGTGCACTACCATGCCTGGCTAATTTTTTAATTTATTGTAGAGACGAGGTCTCGCCAAATTGCCCAGGTTGGTCTCGAACCCCTGAGCTCAGAAAATCCTCTCACCTCAGCCTCCCAAAGTGCTGGGATTATAGGCTTGAGCCACCATACCCAGGTGATAAGTCATTAATGAGAAAGGATGAAATGGAGGCTGTATACACATCAGTAATTACATTAGTCTTCCCTTATTGTCCAACTTGGGATTCTCCTCTTTTGCCAGGTGTGCATGTAGCTGGATTCATGTGAGATGAAGGAAGTTCTAAAGGGCTCCCCATTTATTCTGCTTATTGAGGTCAATATATCCTGTTATATATGCTCTCATCCCCACCCTCATGTTCTTTAGCCTCCTTTCCTCATGTCACCGTGTCAAAGCTTATAAAGAGAGTGGAAAACACAGAGCCCTCTTCTCTAGGAGCTTCTGACCCAGCACTGAGGCTACCACTCAAGTGGAAGGAGAGCAGCATGGCCGAGCCCTGAGAAGCAGCAGGACACCACCGCCCAGGGCAAGCTGCCCCCAGAGAGAAGTAGGAGGGAAGGAGGGAGGGAGGGAGAAGGGAGAGAATAAAACCACCTACTTTTCCACTGCAATAGCAGCTTCTTCAAAAAGCTCCTCTTGGCAGTACATTTTGAGTGCTAGATCAAATTCCTGTATCTGCTCAAAGCATCTGAAAGCATCTTTGTAGCACTGGCTTCGCTTATAGAAATAGGCAGCATCTCTTATCTAGGACAGAGTAAAATTTTACTTTTATTTGGAGTACTCATAATATAGCTTTCTAATCTTAAAAATAAACCAATACTGTGAATAATTAAGAGGACAGCCGTATGTCTGCTATTTGTTAGAATCCAGTGAAAAATGCTGTAACACAGATAATATTAGGAAAACAAATTCTTTACAGAGAGAAAAAAAGTTAAATCCCAATCTCACACCATACAAAAAGGCAAACCCCGAGTGAGTCAAAGATCTAAATGTGAAAACTATTGTGGGAAAATGGATGAGACTATCTTTGTGACCTTGAGGTCAAACTCAAGTGGAAGGAGTCTTCACTTGATTCCTTCAACAAATGAAGTCTTCAACAAAGCCCACCGCATAGAAACTTCAGGAAAAAAGCTAATAGATTGGATTATATGAAAACTGTTCAACAAAAGACACATGAAATAAAGTAAATACAAGACAAATATTTATTTATTTTTGAATTGGAGTATCACTGTATTGCCCAGGCTGGAGTGCAGTCACGATCACGTAGCCTTGACCTCCTAGATTCAGGAGATCCTTCCACCTCAGCCTCCTGAGTAGCTGGCACTACAGGCACTTGCCACCACACTTGACTCATTTTTTTTTAATAGAGACGAGGTCTCACTAAGTTGCCCAGGCTGGTCTTGAACTCCTGAGCTCAAGCAATCCTACCACCTTGGCCTCCCAAAGTGCTGAGATTACAGATGTGAGCCACCATACCCAGCCAAGACAAACATTTATATCTGTGCTTTCTAATCTGCTAGCCACTAGCCATATCTGAATACCAAGCCCTTAAAATGTGAGTTCTGCAACCAAGAAACTGAATTTTTAATTTTAATTAATCTGAGGCGAGAGAGCCACATGTGGCTAATGGCTGCCATACGAGACTGGACAGGTCTAGACATAAAAATAATTCCTGCAACCACAAGAAAAACATTTTCCTGGAAACACAAGAGAAAACTATGCAAAGGTTACAAAAAGACAGTTTGCAGCAGGGGAAGCTTGAATGACTAACAAATAAATGAAGATACTCAACTTCACTAACAATCAGAGGAATGCAAATTAAAACTGTAGTGAAATACATCCACCAGGTTTGCAAAAATTTTAAAAATCAAAACTCACTGAACATGGTCAAAAATGTGGAAACCACAGAACCCTTATAAATAAAGTGACGTGGCCATTCTGGAAAGCAAAGTGGCCACACTTAGCGAAATAAAGGACATGCATATCCCGGGGCCAACAAGCCCAGTCGTGGCAACACATCTCGAAAAAGTCTCACACCGGCCTGTAAGAACATACTGCACCACGGTGCTATGTGTGACAGTCAGGAGGCCATGGCAACCTGGACGTTCATCACTAGGAAATGGGTAAGTCAACTCAGTGGATGCCCACTCTGGAATATATGACAGTCAGAAGCATAGCCAGACCTTTACACTACATAGCAGGGGGTGGAAAAGGAAAAAAGCAGAAAAAGATGCTATTTAGATAAGCTTAATGTGTATATGTATAGAAGACACCACTATCTATATTCAATAATGTATGCATTTGAGGACATATACAAAATGTACTAGAATGGCTGCCAATGAGAAGAGAATGGAATGGAGATGGGCTGTGAAGAAGAGACTGAACAAAATAAAATGCCATGAGTGGGCACTGTACCCACCAACGGTGGGCTTGCTATGAACAGAAAAGTATATTTGACTCCTCTTCCTTTCACACTTCCCATCCAGCCCATTAGCTACTCCTAACTGCTCAGATTCCCTGATATCTTCTGGATGTTCCCCTAGTCCCACCACCTCTACCACCATTGTGGTCATCCAAGCCCCACCCACTGTGTCAGCCTAAGCTACAGCTAGACTCTCCTAATTGCCTTTCTGCATCTGCTCTTGCTCCCTACAGGCCTCTCCACAGAGCATTCAAAGAATTAGCTTCATGTTATTCCTCCAATCAAAACCTTCCACTGGAACCCTGCCCACTTGAACAAAGCCCTGTCCTCACCACGGCCAACAAGGTCCTACTGACCTGCCCCTGCCATCTCTTCTTGACCATTTACCATTTCCACCCTCCTCCTTCTGCTCCGGCCAAACTGGCTTCTTTGCAGCTCTACAAACTCACCAGAATGCTCCCACTTAGGGATTTTGCCTGGAAGGTTCTTGGCCTGTGATACCCTTCAGCAGCTGTACTCATAATTTCTGCTCAAAATCAGCTTTCCAACCCCCCTGTCAAAAACAGCAGCCCCTGACACCCTCTCTCTTAATCAACTCTAGTCTTTCTAAGCCTTTCCAGGCCACTAACATCTGAGACACTATTTGCTGATCTACTCATCTCTCTCCCACCCTGGAAAGAGAAGTTCTCCAAAGGTAGAAGCCTCTGCTTTGTTGCCTGTGGTCACCCAGTACCCACAGTGCTTGGCACACAGTAAAGGGTCCACCTGTTTGTTGAATATTTTAATTTCATATATCTACTTAAGGTACCTAAGGTCCAAAAAAGAAAACAAAATCAAATGAAACAAAATATATGTGCCAGGCCCTCGAAAACATCTAGCTAGGTGATACTTGAGAAAACTACATAGACTACTAAAATAAAAAAAGATTCAGGTACAAGTCTCTTCTATGTCCAGAGACCTCATAGATCAAGGAGTTCCTAGACCAATCTTGGCCACTCCAATAAAACCCCCATATCCAGTACATCTAACCATCCCATCTCTTTTCCTCTTCTTAACAATGCTGACTACTCAGAAGAAAAAAACAAAATCCCTGTGCATGACAAAGGTTTTATTAGGTGCCAACTTTGGGCCCAACTGGAGAGATAAGAGAGAGCTGGCTCCCCACTCTGGTTTGCTCTGCTCGGTGAGGAGACCCCCACCTGCCATTCAAAGCAAGGGCCTGGAGATACTTCCCAGGAAACCAACTCTGCTCTCTAGAGAGAGGCAGGAAGCAGGCAAGGTACAGGAATCCCTGAAAGGAAACCTTACACTCCCATGGCACCCATACTAACAAGTCTTCCCAGAGGCAGAGTACATTTGGGGACAGGGAGGTGGAATGGCCTGAGGACCCAGGTGAAGGTTGCTTCTAAGCTGGTCGCTCTAAATCTTGCCAGTCAACGTGGATGAGATAACCATAAGAAGTCTGCTGTTGGCTGAGGGTTGCACAGCCATCCAGGGAGGGGACTGAGTAAAGAAAGGGACCAGACTCTTCCCTGCGTGGGGTCTAGAGCTGCAAGGATGTACTAGTGAGAGAAAGGAGAAGAAACTGCGTCTAGAGGCCGAGCCCATGGAAGTGGAAGGAAAGAGGAAAGCTGTGCCTCCAGAAGCCGGATGCTCTCTGCAACTTGAAGGTGCTGAAGTGCCGGAGAAGGGAGCACGGGCTGCATATATGGTCCTGGTCTCCCTCCACCCCCACTTTCAGAGGTACAGCTTGGCAGCCTGGGGGGCAGGATAGGTAAGCACACAAGAAAGGGGTCTCTGGCTCAGTCACAGCAGGCACTGGTAGGCAAAAAGGGGAAAGTGATAGGCATAAGCCTGTCTCTGTAGTCACTGGGTCCAGGGTGGTGGTACTGAGAATGAAGGGTAGGGGCTATGGAATTTGAAGAGGTCGAAAACTATTCTCATTCCTGGAACTGAAGACTCAAACTTCCACCCACACTGAAATGTCTTCTCCACTATCCCCATTTCATCCCGATCTCCTACACTCTAACATGTCACTTCCCATAATAAACATGGAGCAGGGCAGTCAGCATTGGGAAGGCCTTATCTGACTTGGGGCCACACTTCAAACTTTTTAGCACAGCCCACTTCCAACCCTCACGATGCCCAGAATGCTGTGAGGATCTGGGAGTAACATTTTACATGCAGACATGGAAACCTGCCTTCCTACTGGAGGGTCATCAAACCTCATATGGGGAAAATGTAACAGCCCACAGCTTCTCAAGTACAGCTTTTCCAACTACCTGTGGTGAAGGACCAGATTGTTTTAAATTTCCAATCCATCACAACTGATACATTAAAAATGAATCCTGGTTTTCTAGCTTTGGTCCCCTTCCCTGCCTTGGGAAGTAAATCTTTCTCTCTCTCCCTCTCAATCTCTCATTTACTTTCTAAATAAACTATATTTTCCAATATGAAAAAAAAAAAGAATCCATAAGAAAATGACCACTTGGATGTCCCAGCAATGCCAGATGGCTGTACAAATTTTTTTTTTTTTTGAGTTGGATCTCACTCCTTCACCTAGGCAGGAGTACAGTAGCATGCACACTCACAGCCACCCCAGCATTGACCTTCTGGGCTCCAGCAATCCTACACCTCAGGATTCCTAGTAGCCAGAACTACAGACACGTGCTACCACGCCCAGCTATTTTTTATTTTATTGTAGAGATGAAGTCTTACCAAGTTACCCAGGCTGGTCTTGAACCCACGGACTCAGGCACTCATCCACTCGCCTAGGCTTCCCAAAGTGCTGGGATTACAGGCTGAGGCACTGAGCCCGGCCTATACAAATTTCTTACTGCTCACTTTCATCTTCTGTGTTAATCTTGCTGCAGCTGGGCACAGTGGCTCATCCATATAATCCCAGCACTTTGGGAGGTGGAGACGAGAGGACTGCCTGAGCTCAGGGGTTCGAGACCAGACTGGGCAACTTGGCGAGACCTCATCTCTACAATAAATTAAAAAATTAGCTGGGTATGGTGGCACACACCTGTAGTTCCAGCTACTTGGAAAGTTGAGATAGAAGGATCGCCTGAGCACAGCAGATTGAGGCTGTGGTGGCCATGAGCATTGTGTCACTGCACTTTAATCTGGGTGACAGAGTGAGACTCCTACTCAAAAATAAATAAATACATAAATACTTTTTAAAAATCTTGCTGCCAGAAAATGCCAGCCCGTGGCCTGCTGCCACCCTGCGTAGCTGTGTTCCAGACTATCAGCTCTGTCCAATAGCGCTTTCTACAATGATGGAAATGTTCTGTAAGACTGAGGATGTGAATCTTTCATTTTATTACATTGTAATTAATTTGAATTTTAAATTAAATAGCCACATGTGGCTGCCGAACTGGATAGTGAAGATCTAGAGGAACTACTGGGAACACAGAAAAACCTTCACATAAATGCCAGGTCATTTGCCCAAGCCAACTCCAGACTATAAACACAGAGAAAGAGACAGAATATTCTAAAACCCATCTGCCTTTTGGTTTGAGCATTTGACCTCCCTGTGGTTAATATTGGGCCTTAAACATTAACACAGACATGGATGTGTACACACACACACACACACACACACACACACACACACGTCTTCAGAGCATTCTAAAAGTTTGAAGAAACAAAGAAAGAAGGGTTATCCTTAGAATCGACAGGGTTAGCCTCTCCCTCCGTGGAACTTACTGCCACAAGCAGAGGGTGAGGGGCCCACCCCTTAATCTGCTCAAGTGAAGCCCTGTTTTCCCAGGAGCAGCCGCAGGCTGGGGGCCATACCTTTCCCAGCCTCTCACAAAGCTGAGCAGAGAGCTGGAACTCCTTGGCACAGCCCAGACACTTAAGGGATAGTGTTGGCTCCTTGCACTCCAGATAGGTCTTAGCCAGTTCCAAATACTCCAATTGCTTTTCCCTGGAGGAAAGGAAACAAAACAGTATTTCCATGGAATGCTGTCCTGACACCAATATATTTAACATGCTGCTCTCATCAGACCAAATCTGAATTTATCCTGAGACTCTTACCTGGGGCTGACTTTCTTGGATTTCATGTTCAGGGCAGTGTTATGAGCCAGAGCCAACTTCTCCTTCTCAAATGCCCCTCCTTTTTGGTAACACTTGGCTGCAACCTGGAAAAGGCAAAATGTTTTGATTCCCAGCAAGGTAATTAAAGTGACATACAGAATAAGAATTAAAGCATGCATTATATGTTTGTTCTGACAAAACATTGAGTTTTGCACCAGCCCAATCTGAGGAAGAAGCAGGAAAGTGCAGGTATGTTAAAGAAAGTAGCCTCGGAGGCAAAAGCCCAACTGTATGACCAGCTAACCCTTCACACAAAAAGGTTCCTTTAGGAAGTATTTATGGAAAGGTACAGAATGCGTATTTTTATAGGCCTCCATAGTAACACCCTTACTTAATCTTCCAGTAACCACAAGCAAGAAGTATCATCCTTCTCATAGTATACCTCAGGTCAGAGCCATGGAGCAACCGGTTCAGTGGCTTTTCTGGGCTTTGACACAGTTGGTAAGTACGTCAGCCACTTTGTGCACTGGTAGAACAGCCACAGTGCATGTACTGGAGGTAAAAATGGCAATAGAAACGGCATCACAACACATCCAGATCCTCAGGGCATGCGGATCTGAGTTAGCAAACCCTCTGACTATAAGGTGGGCAGACAAGTGTCACGGCAGAGTCAGCCTGCACCCTGATCCTTGTCAGCAGAAAGCTGCTCTTCTAAAACAGGAGTGCTGACACCATGTCTCAAAGCACAGGCTACAAGGGCAGAAAGTTCACATTTTGCCCAGCATGTAGACATGAGGTCTCAGTATAGGCAAGTGAGGGACTAAGTGGCATTTGCTGATAGATAAGATGGTGTCTCTCTCTTCCTCATGCTCTGTGCTTTGGCCTCCCCAGCCCCATCAGCCCCATGGGACTCCTTTCATGCCCATTATCTGTGCCACACCCCTTCCCATTGCAGGGCCCTGGCATACACTGTTCCTTCTAACTGAAATGCCCTTCTGTCTTTTATGTGGCTAACCTCATTCATTCGATAGTCTCAGTTCAAGGTTCCCTTCCTCCAAGAAGGCTTCCCTGGCCTCTCTTTCCAGGACAGCTGGTTCTGGGGGCAGCTGGTCTCTCATCTGTGACACCCACAACAGCTGAACTGTGCACTGGTCTGTGTGCTTGTTGTGCTCACTTTTAGATTCCTGAGATCTAAACATAATGCTTGGCCCAGAGCTCAACAGGTATTTGTTGAGTGACAGAACCTTATATGGTGGTTCTGAAACATTTATTGACATGCAGCCAAAAACTCAATAAACCACCTGAGTCCTGAAGTCCTTTAGCAGGGTCAAAATAAAGTCAGGCGAGGAGAAGCCTTTTTATAAGATTCTCATCTGTGCTGGCTCCCCTAAAAGATTTTAGATTCAAACATTCAAAAGGTATTTTTAATGGGATAAATACTTGGAAATCCATGGGCAACACATATGGATAACACAACAATGTTCTGAAGGGAATAAAGGGTAAGACAATATAGTTTTCCAATTTCATACCCGAACCTGCTGCCCATGTCATCCCTCCCTTCCCTCCCTACCAACTGCCCCTTGCCCCACCAAAAAGAAATTCTTGGTTTTACAACAGCCACATGTTCAGTATTTATTTATTTCCATATATAATAAGGATGATCAGTGAATAAAGTTTTGGGGCTCAGTCAACTTCTCCGACTAAATACTAGGTATTTATGAAAATACATTTCAGACATACCCAGACTGACAACAGTGCAAATTGTTTGTTCACCCCAATTAGAGATTACAAGGGTGGCCATGGTTCCTCACCCTCCCTGTATCTGTCCACACCCCTTACAGAGCCACTTTGCAGCTTCTCTCCTCAAGCATGCTGTCCGCTTCCCCTCCCTTCTAATCTGGGCTGTGACTTGCTTTGGCCAATAGAATTCAGCAGAAGTGACACTGGGCCAGTTCTAAGGCCAGGCCTCAAGAGGCCTTGTGTGTGCTTCTTCTCACTCTCTGAACCCTGTTTAGGCATTATGGGAACAAGCCCACACTTGCTCGCTGAAAGAAGGAAACAATTCAGGAACCCCAGTCACTCCTATCCCCCAAGTCAAGAGCCAGCCAATCCCCAGTGAACTCAGCATTGCCAATCCTCAAAACTGAGCTAAATAAATGACTTGTCTTAAACCACCAAGTTTTGAGGTTGTTTGTTATGCAGCAAAAACTGATAAACCCCAGATGTAACTTATTTGCTGTTGATGTAAACCATTTCCCCTGCCACAGCAGACCAAACTCTTCTAAGATGTGTAGCTGCATCCCAGGAGTTTAGGAGGCTGAAGCAAGTGGATTGCCTGAGCCCACAGATTTGAGACCATTCTGGGCAATTTTTGATTTATCGTCTCTACAATAAATCAAAAATTAGCTAGGCATGGTAGTGCACCGCCTGTAGTTCCAGCTACTTGGAAGACTGCGGTGGAAGGATCACTGGCACCCAGCAGGTCGACAAAAGGATGGCCATGAGTGTGCCACTGCACTCCAGCCTGGCCAACAGAATGAGAGACTCCAATGCAAAAACAAAACAAACAAAAAAAAAGAACTATGGTTGAGAAATCTTCCCAATTTCTTCTCCAGATATGTCAGACCACAGACACCTCACACTGTGGCTTCTATTATGTCCTGATTTGTGGTTTCATTGTCCTTGTCACTTCCCAGTACTTCACTGGAGCCCAACTCCATGATACTCCACTGAAAAGAAAGATCACTAGAGCACAGGATGAGCCCTCAGAGAAAACACTTGTTTCCAAAAATTTGTTCCAAAGTGGCAAGAGAAACTGCAGAAGCTTTTCTTGTAACATTTGAGGAGCTAGAGCCTCCTAACATAAACACTGAGGCATAGAAAGGAAACAAAGTGATCTGTCCAAAACCCAGCTCCAGCTGTTCTTCCAGGAAGTATCAAATGCAGCTGCAGGCATGGGACACTCCAAGTACCTGGGATAGTCAAATCTTAGGAAAATGTGCATTTTTGTGTGGGTGTGCCTACAGTGTCACAGTTGGTTAGCTAACTACAGCACTTCTTCCCCTTGCCTGATGGCAGAATCTGCCTCGCATAAAGGACTGAAATGGTCAGATAAGATTGTTCTCCCAGACTCCCTTGCAGCTAGATGGGAGTATGTGACCTAGGGCTAACTAATGATATATAAGAGGAAGTCCACTTAGAGCTTCATGATTAGAGAGAGAGAGAGAGAGTGAGAGAGCGTGAGAGAGAGAGAGAGAGAGAGAGAGAGAGAGAGAGAGAGAGAGAGAGAGAGAGAGAGAGAGAGAGAGAGAGATCCACGAGAAGAAGAAAGTCCCTGCTTGTCATTCTTGCTTGGGATGTTGCTGAGGGAATAGAATGGTTGAAGCTGCTGCAGCAGTCATTATGCAACCATGAAGGGGAACATCTCTGACAAGCTGCAGATGACACAGGGAAGAGTTGGAATGAGACTGGACCCATGCTGACTTTGTTGAGCTGCAGTCAACCCTAAGACCAAACTTCTTGCTATTAGAACAAAACTAAAACTAAAACTAAAAATACTCTTTAAGTAGAGCAATGTGCACGTGAAGTCATCATTACCACTATTTCATGGAGATATATGCCATGGTACCCCACCTAATTCCCTGTGATGTGTAGGGATGTGGTATGTGGGAAAAGCAACAGGGCTCTTTAATCTGGTTTCAACATTACAGAGACATTTCGGAGAATGCTCAGGACCACCAAGGTGGCTTGTAGATGGGAAGTGGTCAGTAAAGTCTAGTAATGAAGCTTAACCTATGCTCACCAGACTCAGATTGGCAGTGAAATCTATGTCTGATCAATCTGAAAAAACAAAAACAAAAAATGAACCTGTTATGCTATAAAATGCAGTATGATGAGAGCAAAAGCTTTTAGGCATGCAGTATAGGAGGGAAAGAAAGTAAGATTCCTGGGGGGCAAAGGCCACAGCCCTCCATGTGTTAGAACACATGTTGGCACTTGGCCAAAATGAAGGGTTGTGGCATGTGCCTTGACTAAGGAAGAAACAGGATAAGGAGCTCTCTTCATCTTAGGGTGACTCGATATTTCAGAAGTGGCACAAGCACTATTACCCTCACCCTATTCTGGTGACAAATGCAATTGTGGAAAATCTTTGAGGCCTGCCAGGGCCACCAGTGACAAGGACCCCTCAACCCCTGGCTCCTAGCCGAACCCCTTACCTTCCAGCACTGGTGCTTGGCATAATATTCTCCTTGGGCGATCCATTCCTCTGGAGTTGAGGTCTTAACAAACATGCTATCATCAAAGTCTAAATGAAAAAGAAAAGCAGATGTGCCTCTCTGGGCATTCATTCATTTAAATCTATTGTTCAAGGCTGAAATGTGTCCCCCCAAAATTCATTTGTTAAAGTCCCAATCTCCAGTACCTCAGGTTGTGGCTGTATTTGGAGACAGACAGGGCCTGCAGAGAGGTGACTATGTTAAAACAAGGCCATTAAGGTGGGCCCTAATCCAACCTGTCTGGTGTCCTTATTAGAAGAGGAAATTAGAACACACAGAGAGACTCCAGGGGCAAGTAAACACAGAGGAAAGACTGTAAGGACACAGAGGGTAGGCAACGGTCTGGAAGCTAAGGAGCAAGGCATTAGAAGAAATCAACCATTACAACACCTTGATCTTGGACTTCCAGGCTTCAGAACTGTGAGAAAATAAACTTTTGTTGTTTAAGTCACTCAGAGTGGCAATTTGATACGGCAGCAAGAGAATATTGTCTATCTAATATTCATTTAAGATACATTTTAGCTTCCCAAACCACGTGTTGGTGAGGGTATGGAAAGGTGGAGGTGGAAGTAAGAAAGGATGTGGTTTGGTTTTTGAATTTTAGTCTACTTTCCTTTTCTATGACTACAGATCAGAAGACAGCAATTACTAATTCCTCCTTGAAAATCCAAAGCCAAGCAGCTCTTAGCAAGTTCTCAGACCAGGGCTTTAGCAAGAAACAAGGTGACAAATTTCAAAGTATTTCCAAATGTGCAGACTTTGCTCTCATCACAGGAAGCAATCTGACACACTCCTGTTGGTGATCACAGACTATTACAACCACCTGCTGCCTGTCCCTTCTATTATCCTTGCTAGCCGGCTGGTGACTATATCAACCCTCCCCAACTGCAGTCCCTAGAGTAACACCAACAAAGGGTGACAGTCCCTGCATGTTCTAAACCACAGCTTCATAAAGCTCACAAAAGACAGTAAATACCAGGACAATACAGACAGCCAAATCAGAGCTGAAGGGATCAGAGACACCCAATCCAATGGATACCAACCAGGGAAGTGAGGCACACATGACAGATTTGTTTGAAGGTGCAAAAACACACACTTGGTGTCATAACCTGATCCCTCCCTGCTCTACCTCTGCTAGTATCCTGTAGCACTGTGCAGTGATGACTCCAAAATGTCTTGTTCTGACTTCATGTGCACTATGGGTGCCCTGGTAACATTTTGTTCTTACAACAAAACACTATATTATCACTGAATAGGGCAAGTGAATTCTGCAGGCACCATGTTGGAGAAACACAAATGCATAGTCACTATACTCATTCCAAGTTTCCTTGCACAAAGGGAACAGATGCTCAAAAAGACTTCACCATGTGCAACTTGTAATTCGTAATTAAGACTGCACTTTTTCTTGAACTCTTAATGCTACCGAAACATAAAAGAAATTGAAACTTTTTTCATTTTGAATTTTTAAATTTAAAATATGTACCTTGATAATCTCTCTAATAAGGGGTACCAGAACATATTTTGGGGAAAATACGGGTATGAGCTGCAGGAATGATTAAGCATGACCATGCTAGGTCAAAAACCTTTTAGCTGAGGAAATAAAAGTCCAAGAAAAGAAAGTGAGACCTGAACCACATCACGTAATTACACAGATAGTTTTTGCAATGATTTTTTAACTCCAAGCCTTCGGCTTTTTCCATCACACCACAATAGTCAGGTCCTAGGAAGAGAAATCGAATCCTGGTACCCCGAGCAATGAGTAGTAACCAGAAAAAGTCTCCATAAAACAGGCTAGGAATGCTAAGGAAACCAGCATACCTCTCTACAGAAGCCAAGCCCTGCTCCTTGCCCTACTCTTGAAGAAATTAACTATGGCTTTGAGGAGCCAACACAACAACCAGCCATCAAGAAAGACAACAATTTTCTCCATCATGAAGGGCTGATTATTTCTCTTCTCAGTTATCCCAGGAGGAGACCATCATTTCATTTTTTAAATAGCTAATTATAAAAACACTGTATAATTTTTTAAAACCCTTCAAAAAGCACAGAAAAATTTAAAGTCTACTCAAAAATGCCATGCCCATCAGTCCTAGCACCAGAGGTAACCACTACAGTTTTACATCAGAAATAGTAGGTGTACACATGTATTTATATGCAGGCTGTATCTTCAAACCCTTGCATACACTTTGTGATCCATAATCAGGAAATGGATACAGATAAATTTTCTAATTAATCCCTTATTATCTGAACTCTTGGTTCTTATTTTGTGAAACTGAGGAAGTAAACAAATTCAGACAACCTGTTGTCTCATTATCTAAATTTCCACAAACCTAGTTTTTGTTAAACAACTCAGAAACTGAACTGGTTCTGAAAGTTAAAGACACTTCAGAGGTGTTTGTAGATATACATATACACATATACAAACATGCATAAACATTCTATTCTGATACACTGATGTACATAAATAATTTTATATTTGCATAATATAGTTATTTACCAGTTGGATCATTATATCCATACAGCTTAAATTTTGCTTTTCTTTCGTCTAATACATTTTGAATATCCTTCCACATCAGTAAATGGAAATTAATCTTATTCTTTTTAATAGTTGCATAGTAGTCCACTGAAAAAAATGCATTTAGCCTTTCCTCCATTAGTGGACACTGACGTTGTTTTTAGTTTCTTATAATTACAAAGAGGACTAGTGATAAACCTACTTATACATATATCTTTGATATTTTGAACACAAATATCTCAGATTCTTAGAAATGGAATTGCTTGGGGGAACCCCTTCGGGTTCCCTCCCACTGTGGGAGTTTTTCTGCCCTCTCAATAAATCCTGCTTTCTAAAAAAAAAAAAAAAAAAGATATTGTCAATTAGTTATCCAAAAGCTCATAGCAATTTGTATTCTCCCAACACGACCTATTTCCTCTAACCCTGTTCACGATTCTAGCTTTTAAAGGACAGATGAAAGGTCTTCCCTGAAAGAGTTAACCCTTCCAATCTCATTTTCTCACACACCTTAGCAACTGAATAACAGATTTCATTTCTCAGAAGATCGTGAAAAGGAAAGTCCTTTAAACAGCTATACCCTTTATGCCTGAACATAAGAAGAGTGAGAGAAACATTCTTTCTCCAAGACTGAGGCTATTTTAATAATGAGGATCTTACCTTTATTTTCATCTGTCTTCACAACTTGGACAAAGTCTCTTCTAATGAAATATTTGAACGCAGGAGTCCGTTTCTCTCGGTTTTCGTCAAAGATCCAGAGGTTGACCCGAGCCCGTGTGATAGCAGTATACAACTGCTTCAGCTCTCCATTGAGGAGCTAAAGACAAGATTGAGGACAATGATAATAAGCCTTTCGTCTATAGCTACAATGGGACACAATTCAATGAGCTTATTCTGATTTTGAAAAAATACAAACACCAAATTTTAGAGGAGCACAGCAGAGTCAAGAGCAGGATACCAGGAACTCATGGTGACCACAGCATGGGTAAGCGAGGCCCTAGAAAGGCTATGAAAACTTTCCCACCTGAAAGGGTTAGTGAGTACTCCTTCTGTATAGGACAACCCTTTAATAAAAATAAATAAAAATGAAAAAAAATTTTTTTTTTTGTTTTGTTCCTGTTTCTGCTGTAATTTTTAGGTATTCATTTTGAAATAATTAAAGGTCGGGCAAAGTGGCCCATTCCTGTATTCCTAGCACTTTGGGGAGCTGAGGGGGGAGGATTACTTAAGCCCAGGAGTTCAAGACCAGCCTGGGCAACATAATGAGACCTTATCTCCACAAAAAATTTAAAAATTAGCTAGGCATGGTGGTGCATGCCTGTAGTTTCAGCTACTTAGGAGGCTGAAGCAGAAATATTGCTTGAGCCCAGGAGGTCAAAGCTGCAGTGAGCTGTTAATGTGCCACTGCACTCCAGCCTGAATGACAGAGTGAGACTTCAACTCAAAATAAACAAATAAATTGAAATAATTATAGATTCACTGAAAGTTACAAAGACAGTACAGACAGGTCCCATGTACCCTTCATTCAGATTACCCCAAGAGTTACACCTTACACAACTGCTCTGATTTATTTCTAAAAATTATAGTCATACACTTCTAAGTATCATTAATATTAAATTAATCAAGACTTACCCCATGACTGCATCAAAAATCCTGAATAGAGCTGAGTTCCAGGTGACTAAAAGGTACAAACCCTCCCCCTTCCACTTTCAGGCAATTCACTGTCCATCAAGCCCATCTCTCTGCTGAGAAAAAGGGAGTCTGCCAAAACTAGATTCCTGTCCCTCCCTTTCCCATCCTCTACTCTGTTGCTGAAATACAGGAAAACCAGCCAAGTGCAAGGCCTATTCTTCATCTCATCTTCTCCTCCAAGTCTTCTTTACTGGTTCCTCGACAAGTAAGCGTGTTGACAGACAGCAGAAATTCACCTTGTACATTTCTGGGTTTACCATGACAGACCGACCCTGAGGGGACCTTGGTTTCTCCAGGGGCACTTCAATCAGTGGCTTGTTTTCCTCTCTGGAGTCAGATGATGAAGGTATGAATGAGGATATGATCTTCCACTCCTTGTAAGCCTGAACAACAATGACGACAAATTAAAGACCAACAGAATGTGTTTCTGAACTGCACATACAGCCTCCCTGAGCTCCATGGAAAATGAAGCCTCATCTGGGGGCCAGGTCTTCAAGCCCAGCTGTGAGAAAGGGACCATCCAAGAGCCTCAGAATGGATGGAAGGGGGCTCAGTTTGCACAGGCAGAGACCAGAGAAGTTACTGTGAAAACTCCCCAGATACTTGGCCAAGAGAGCTAAGAAGTCAGGCACACGCACCCCTTTCCAGAAGGAATGCTAAGGGCCCGGGGAGTTATTCTCATTGAAAGAATTTCAACAAACAGTACAGACGGAGGAATCTTCACCCCTTTTCACAACATGTTTGAGGGATGCCACTTAGGGTCAGTAGTGAAGACATATGTGGCAGAATTTTCTAACTACATTATTCAACAAAGGATGAAGAAAATCCAAGGGCTATGGGGCACACCGTGCAAGGTAGACTCCGAGATCAGACAAAACAAATCTGTATCTCAGTTCTCCCATTTATTAAATATGTGAACTTAGACACATTATACATTCTCCTGCCCTGTAAAATGGGGATAATATTACCCAACTCTGTTGAGAAAATAAAGAGATAATCAATGTCAAATGTCCAATATAATGCTTGATAAATAGTTGATATTTTATTCATTTTTTCCTCTACCCAAACCCCAAAACCAAAGGGACTGTGTAGACCAGGGGTTGGCAAATTTTTTTCTCTAAATTGTCAAATAATGAATATTTTTGACTTTGCAGGTCACATGGTCTTTCTTGCAACTATTCAACTCTGCCACTGCTGTACTAAAGCAGCCACGGTTACATGTAAATGAATGCGTGTGCTGTGTTCCAATAAAACTTTATTTGTAAACACTAAATTGAATTTCATATAATTTTCATGTGCCATGAAACATTATTCTCCTTTGGGTTTTTCTTAAGTCACTTAAAAGTATAAAAACCATTCAGAGCCCTCAGGCCATACAAAGACAGGCAGTGGGCTGGATTTGGCCAACAAGCTATGGTTTGCAGACTCTGGTAAAGTTGAAGTGCCCCAGATTACATGCAGTATTTAGAATTTAAAATTCCTAAGAAATTTCATATTTCATACTTTCCTGTGTGTTGTGAAATAGTTAGTTAGCTCTCCTAGCCTTTACTTTTCTTTTTATAAAATAGTGCTACTTGTCATCTACGTAACTTTTCAAGGATGCTGAAAAGATGAAGTGGATAGAGTTCATACCCGCTTTAAGTTACTCCATAACTTAAACTATGTAAATTAGGTTAAATGCTTTAAACACTGTCTATTAAGTAGGAATGGTTATGCTACTAATCAATTATGGTATTAATGATCATGTTCTGAAAAAAGATATTAATCATGAAATTATTTAAGGAGTTGGAAAGTTTTTAAAAAATCCTCAGGACGTATTTATGACTGTCCTCTTTTAATTTTTTTCCCTGACCCTTAAAAACTAAGATATGACTGTCCTCTTTGTAAAGCTATTTAGACAACAAAATTGTTCGCCAAGAAGAGCAGGCAGAAGACACAAGTGCTTGACATTTGAGCAGATCCTCCTGGCAAGAAGCATGAGGTGCAGACCGGCTGACCTTGAAAGGGACAAAGAAGCACAATGTATTTTAAAACTCCTGGAAGAGAAGCAAAAGCTGCTCAGATGTCACATGACTGACCCGTTTCCATGAATCAAACACATTTTATTCAAGACAAGGCCTTTTAGCAGTGAGTCCTTTGTACCAAGGAAACAGGTCTGTTGCACTTGTAGCAATAAAAGAAGCAGCATTTAAGATTTCCAGCTTCTTCTCTTGGGACCAACAATTGTGAAGGAAAAGACAGATTTTACTAGCAGGTCCACTTTTGAGGGACCTATTCTCTAAGTCAGTTAGGTAACCCATAAAAGGTCGTAGTTTTCAAAGTCCCTCTGGTCCCATGTCCCATTCACACATGAGTGTGAAAGAAAGGACTTCCTACTGGGGCAAGGTATAAAAACCAGTCACCCTTCCAAGTCCCCACAGGAGGACAGTTTGAGAGTGACTGGAAGAATGACTGCTAAGAATTTGGTGTAGCCATTCCTTGGTCACTTCCCCTCTCAGAAGATGGCTCTGGTGACCATGTGGTTGAACAAGTACAATAAATCCTCTAGAAAGAAGAATCACAAACCAGGGCAACAAGGATTCCCCTCCCCTTCCTAGCCCACCCACTCACAAGTCCAGGCAACAGCTGCTTCAAAGAGAGCGCTTGTCTGAAACATAAACAGGGGGTGGGAAAGGAGACCAGGGAAGGAGAGAGAAGCTCTCCACAGTTCCCCATGGTCAAATAGCAATTACCGCTCAGTGGGCTTCAGTCAGTCACCCTGAAATAAATCCCACATTAGCAGCCAGTCCATGGGAGACTAGAGATAAATGTGATCTGTCTTTCTTTTGCTTTTATTAAGGCACTTCCCTCATGTGCTGACTGACTCTTTTTGATCTGAAGGTTGTAAATAATAAACTGAGGGTGTGCTTTGTAGCCAGGGAATTCATGATCACATTAACACGGGGAAGAACCAAATCAAAAATCGTTTTAGAAGTTTTATTGTGCACACAGGATGAAGTGGATGCCAACAAAATTCAGCTTGGGATTATTTTAATTTTGGTCAACTCACTGAGCCGTTGGTGGGAGCATGGAATCAAGATATGTGAGACTTTGCCATTTCCAGAATTAAGGTAAAACAGAATAAATAGATTTTTCTTTCACGAAGCTGACCACAAGTTACAGATCCTTAAGTCCAAAGCTCCTGGAGCTTTTTACCGGCACAAGCATGCAAATGGCACTTAATTAAGAATAGGAACAACAGAGTCTTACCCATACCTCTTTTAGGAGAGCCTCAAGCCAACCATGACTGATGGATGTATTATCAGAAAAAAAGTTAGTTCTCAGAGATTACAAATGGTTCCAGGATTAATGAGTGTGCATCTTATTTTAGTAACAAAAAATTTTTATTTGTACATATGCATTACATCCCTAGAAGAAGAAGAATCCCAGGATTTTCCCTCCTATGTGTTTACTTCTTGCTTCTTTGTGGTCCATGACGCCAACTGAGGTTGTCAGTACAATGAAACCAAAATGGCAGGATGGAAGCAGATTATTCTGCCACTTTTCTAGATCTTTGAGTTGCACATCAAATCTGGGGCTGATCACACCACACTTGTTTAACCTGTTGTCAAGTTCACAATTTTTTCAGCTCTGTAAACATCAATGATTTCAAATTCGCCAATGTAACCATGCTTCATCATCACAGTTAGAAACCAGACGATGACTCTGGAGCACAGCCTGATAAGAACCTAGAGTTTGCCTCTCTTTTTCAGCACTGTTGATGCTCTTGAAAGCATGATGGTGGCGTGGAAAGACCAGTAACAAAATTTAATAGAAAAGGAATATACCTAAGGAATGGTAATGATACACTCATTGCAGAAGGTTGTGGAAGCCAATTCACATGCAAGGTTTTAAAAGAAGGGAGACCAATGGAAAGAGAACTGAGAATTAGAACTCAAAGCATCTGAGTTAGCCTCTGGGCTCTGCCCTTTATATTATGACTATGGGCAATTTACATAACCTCAGTGACCTTTTGCTTTGCCCACAAAATGAGATTAACAAAATACACACAACCTCAGAGGGTTGGTAAAATAGGAAAATGCATTCAAGAAGTACTTTATAAACTGCAAAGCACCCATAGCAATATTAGCCATAGATATAAGGGCAAACATGACATTTTTAAAAATGACCAAAAAAAAGGTAAGGACTCTATTTAAAGGGTCATCTCTGGGGCAGATTTTTAAGGTGTCAAAGCCAACAGTGACTTAGGTACACAATAGCCCCTTCAAGTATGCACCATGTGCAATGGAAGTCTGCAAAAGGGACCATGACACAGTCAGCTAAGGCCCCAAAGAAGACCTCACAGCCAGCCTGAGTCCCCAGCAAAAGATGGTGATAAAGAGAAACCAGAAGCTAGAAAACCCAGGACAATGGCCTTGAGTTGGTAGCTCTGTTCATAAGGAACTAAGCTTGGAGAGAAAAAGCATTACAAGGACTCAGGAACCAAGTGAAATCAGTGGGCCAACAAAGAAGTCACTGGGGTTCAGTCTGGGAACTCTGGCTGCCATCATCTATCTGCATGGGTAGCAAGCAGTGGTAGTGAAGCCATGCCAGAGAGGACTTCCATGCAGGGCAGCGGTTCTATGACCCAACATTACCCGATCCAGAAGGCAGGAAACAAGACTCAATTGTCTTCCTAGAGTTGTCTCTTATGATCTGACTTTGCTCAAGTTTTTCCTCCAAGGATGGACACTGATAACCTTGCCTTCATTTGTAAGGCTCTCCTTAGAGCTTGCTCCAACTTGGGTATCTTGGGAACCAAGGACAACAGGGGCTAACGAAAACTGGACACTGGCACTTGGGTACTAGGCATTTAGAGAAAGATGGAGATGAGAGAGCCAGACAAGGGCAGGGCACAGGGAGAACCAGCCCATGACACACTGTAAAACAACCCACAGCCTTTGTCAAAATCCACATCTAAACACACAAAACTCAGCACGAAACAGATGATGCTCCAAAACGCAAATAGGCACCTCAGACAAGTTCTTATCCTCAGTTCCCAATTCTCTTCCTCAGAGCAGAAGTTCAGCTCATACATATACATGAACTGTGTAAAAAGGATTCAGTATGACATACCTCAGAATCAGTAAAAAAGTTGTAAAGGAGGACATCATCAAATTCTAAGCCTTTTGCTTCATAAATTGTTAGTACAAGTGCTAGCCCCAGCTCTTCTGGAATTTTCTCCTTTGCCATTTCATTGGCTACAAGGATTACCTGGAAAACAAACAAATAAACAAACAACAAAAAACAGAAGAACATCAAAGTCTACACAGAAAAAAACCTGGAAAAGTTCTATTTATTTCTATGGGAGACAAGAAATGTCTTTAAAAAGAAATGGTCAGTATGAACATGATCAGCCAGGCCAAAAGAAATACTAAAACAATTAATTAGTCATTCATCCATCTCTGGAATTCACCCATTCTGAGATAGGGGCTATTGAATTCCATCTTGTGAAATAATTTAGCCTCTCAAACCTTTTTTTCAATTGCAAACTGCCTTTTATTTCAAAACATACAATCCCAAGAAGCTCACCTGGTGGGCTCCAAATTCAATGGGCTGGGTTTTCCTTTTATTCCCTCGTAGCAAAATTGCCAAGTCGCTTACACTACAAGACTCCAGGACCGTTGGTTTGGGACCATCAAACAGGCCAGAATCCCTCGGAAGGCGATCAAAAGATTCTGGGAAATAGAATTGAAGTAAATCCACCACTCCAGATGCCAGTCTGAGGATTCCTGGGATAAAACAGAAAACATATGTCAGGTATTGGATAAGAGGGCTAAGTTTTTTGGTTATTTTGTCGGGGGTGGTTTTGTTTTTTCCTGAGAAGCAGATTTAGCCCTGACAGTATGTAAAATTGTGAGCCTATTTCCAATCCCCATTTGATTATCACGGTGACCCTGAGTCATACTACTCTGGGTGCAGTGGATGAAGGCAGAGATACACATCTCTGCTGAGAGGGTTTAGTGGGATCTCATTAGAGAAAATTACCTCATAAAGAATAAGGCAGAAATGTAATCTAAACAATTAGAGCTGTTAGAATGTTCATATAAGGGGTTAATATAGACAATGGGAAGAAAACAAGAATTACCCTGCTACCTCTCATTGGTGCTTAGAGCTCTGGAAGCACTGTTACCATGGTTACAGAAGTGCTACATGTTAGCTGGAACAGCCACCAAGGACTCCATCACCCTTTTCCACTAGGTTTATACCCTGTTGAGAGAAAACTACACTAAGAAAAACTGACAGAGCAGGGGAGAGGATTTTCCAAAGAGCTTTCTCCCTGGGTCCCATTTCCACTCTAAGCTCTGAAGTGACACTGAAAAGGTGCCATACAATAGGCACCTTCATAAAAATCATCCCATTTAATCCATACAACGATGAATTCTCCCAACCACCCAGTGAGAGAAATGAGACAATCGCACTTTTACAAATAGGGACTCTGAGGTCTGAGAAGTTAATGAACAACTCAAAGTGATGGGATTTGAAGCTGGATTGAATACAGATCTTGCTGGGTCTCTTCACTAATCTTAGAGGCTAAGTGTCCATGCTCTTGGCCTGACAGCAGACAGAATTCAGTGGTATAGTTAGAACACCGTGAAAAGGGCAAATGTGTCCCCATTGCTATTATTAAATAGTAAATGGAAATTGTACTATCCAATATTACTATAATTAGAAGTATACCGTATAAATGTTTATATATTTAATATATAAAACAATCATAAGCATAAGGGAAAACTGCTGAATCTAGGTAAATCAGTTGCTACTGCATTTCCCTTCTCATTGACAGACAACAGGAGCCAAAAATCTATTTATATTATCAGGAGAATCAGAAAAGGGCATGAAAGTGTTCATTGCAGTGAAAAGCTGGAATCCACTTACAAGCCCATTCTAGGAAACTACGTAAGTAATTTTTGCTATAGCCATACTCAAAAAATAAAAGATGGTTCAACCATAGAAAGGAATAAAGTACTCATACATACTATAACATGGATAAACATTATGCTAAGTGAAAGAAGCCAGACACAAAAGATCACATATTGTATGAGTCCATCTATATGAAGTGTCCACAATAGGTGAATCTATAGAAACAGAGAAATGAATTGTTTCCATGAAGTGGGAAGAGGACAATGAGTAGTGACTGTTAATGGCCATAAGTTTTTTGGGAGATAATTAAAATATTCTGGAATTAGATAATGGTGACAGTTTCACAATGCTGTAAATATATTAAAATCCACTAAATTGCACATTTCAAATGGGTGAATTTTATGCTAAGTGAATCTCAATGCATGAATTAGGATTCCACATTATCAACATACATATAAATCTCAGAAACATAACATTAAGCAAAAATACACAGTTGCAGAAATATACAGCCAACATGCTCCCACTAAATAGTTTTTAAACATGAAAATAATACTCCATATTGTTCATGGATACTTGTAAGACTTAGAAGGTGAGTTTTCAACATCTGTAAGTTATAGAGGAAATACGATGGCATAGATACCATGTTATTTAAACCCTCTGAGCCTCAGTTTCCTCCTTTGTGAAATGTAATTGATGCTTACCTTGTAGGGTTGTTGTAAAGATTAAGCACAGGTGCTATGTGTAAATTGCTTAGGACAGTGCCTAGCACAGAGAAGGGGCACAACAATACATAACTAGATACAAATTAAAAGCACCTGAGTGTGTGTTAGCTCCCACCACCTCCCACCCTCCCTTTTTTTGCTTCTTGTGAGAAAACCTACACTAAAGATTAATGACTTATAACTGATATATTACTTTATATGGAATAAGCAGGTATTGTCAAAGAGTTTTCACAAAATCTCTCAAGCAGTTTAAATGTTCTCCTGAAATGTTTTCATGTCATGGCAAACCCTTTAAGATACAACTGCCTAAAGATCCACTTTCTACCCAACCACAGCTTGAATGATCAACTTAAGAATCAGTAGTAGACAAAACTGTAAGATCTCGTTTATGAGTGTATTTACAACAAACTAGAAAAGTACTGCCCTTACTTCAGCTGCAAAAGTCTAACGAGACGGTGCTTCAAGCAGCCAGAGGTCTGTGCCCATGTACCCCCAGTAGGTGAGCCCAAGGCTTGGACTTACCTGAGTGGGACCTGTAATTCTGGTACAGCTGGTGGATCCTCTTGGGCTTCCGGACGGCACACTGCTTGTCTGTGGTGTTTCTGCTGGCATAGTGGAACAGAGAGCGCAGATCACTGAAGCGGAAAGCCACGCCCTTCATGATGCTCTGGGCTGTGTCCCCCGTGAGGAACATGGCATTGGGGTCATTGATGCATTTCATCAGCAATGTCAACTCAGCTTGGGTGAAATCTTGAATCTCATCGCCATAGAGCTCGTGGATGGACCATGGGAGCACCCTGAGCTTTGACAGCCTCTGGGATAGGTTGTACAGAACATCCTCTTCATCAAAATAACCTTTCTGGGACCTGATCTGCTGATACAGACAGAAGAGGCTGTAGATCTCACTCCGGTCTTCCTTGAAATTGGGGGACCGTTTTCTCCCTAGTTTCTTATATGCTTCTTCAGTGAGTCTCCCAAGGGGACAGTTGAGGGCCTCAAAAGAACCCTTCAGAAAAGATTTTATTTCTTTCCAAATCAGTGCAGGGTTGTAGGAGGTCTTCCCTTTAATCATCTTGGGCCATATTTCATTGGTGAACACCTCAAACGTCACGTATACCCGGGGGTCACTGTCACCTGTGCGAGCTTCTACAGTTTTATCCTCCTCGCTGAAGTCCCCGTCCACCTCAGCCTCCTCCTCATCCTCTCGCCAATTGGGGATAACCAACTCTTCCTGCGTGGACCATCCTACAATGGTTCTTTTCAAGCTTCCATCCTCATTCCTCAGAAAAAATGGTTTGGGCAGAGAAGCATCAAGCAGAAGGAGCAGCTGTTTGGAAGTGACAAACAGAGGAAAGTTCTCGTCCCTCAGGTCCTGGAGTTTGTGAACATTGGGTTCCAGTGGTTTGTAGTGACTGGTGGCCTTGGTAGATTTGGAAAGCTCAATAAAATTCCTTTGTACCTCCTGACACAGGACGTGGTTCTTGGTCACGAAGATCTGATGTAAATGCTCCAACTGGTGGGGTTGTTCTGGCACATGTACTTCTGCCACTTGGCCATCCCCCACAGGCTCCACACCGGCTCCACCTGCACAGACTTCACCCTCCTGCTCCTCATCTGTGCTGTCTTCGGTTTCCACTTGGATGGAACCTTCCTCTTCCTCTTCTTCAGCCTCTTCCTCCTCCCCCTCTTCCTCCCCACCTGGACCCTCTTTTCCAGGTTCCGCTTCCAGCCTTCTCTTTGACCAGGTCTGTTTGACCAGCAACGGGCTTTCTGCCTGATCAGCTTTTTCCCAGTAAGCATGGAATTTCTTCCACAGCCTGTACAAGCAGCAGGTGGTCTTGCCAGTTCCACTCCGCCCAATGAGGATGATGGGCTCCAGCGGCCTGGGGTTGAGGTCAATCACTGCGTACTCGAGCTCGCCCACCCGGAAGGGGTACTCTACTGTTGCTGTCATGTTGTTGAGGATGTTGAAGGCCATGTTGGTGCTGAAGCTGTGGAACTTCATGATGTTGTACTCTGTCTCCACCACACTGGCTGGGGGGAAGTACTCGGGATCAACATACATCCTGCCCTTCTCTGCCTCGGTGTCCTCCACATAGAAGCGAGGTATACGCTTCTGGATTTTCATGTTAGCTGACACTTGGCCTTTACTGATACCCTTCAGCTTCTTCCGCAAGACACAAGACAAGCCCCGGTTGTAGGCAATGCAAATGGCCCTGATGGAATCTTTCAGTTTGCAGTGATCTAAGACGATGTCCCAAATCCGGATGATTTCTGTGTAGACCCGTCCCGATTTCTCCATGGAGTAGGTATTTTGCTCCATGGCAATGATCTTCTCTGGGTCCTCACTGCATCGAGGGGAGAAGTCAATGGCAAGCTCCCACAGCATCCGGGCTCCTTTGTCCAACTTAGCTTCGAAGAGCTGGATGCTTCCTTTCAGGTGCTTCAGTCGCTTCTGCAGGCCCTGGGTCCACTCACCATTTCCCAGCTGCTGTATGGCAAGGATGATTTTCTTCTTCATGACCTTGCTCATTACCTTACTGGACAGTTTCTTCAGCATTTCTGATGTGCACTCAATCTCCCAGGTCATATTATCAAAGTCCTGGAGGCAGGTCTCAATCTCCTGCATGCTCCAGTCATCGTGATCATCACTACCCTCCCTCCTCCTGTTAGCAGCAGGAATGAGCTGCAACACCTCAAGCCCTGCCTGAGCCTGTCCTTCCCCTAATTCAGGGATGACAAAACTGTTCCCACTACAGTCAGAGTCCCCTGCACTCAGGGTTGGCTGGAGCTCATCTTTCTGTACTTCCATGCCAGCTCCTACCTCCAGATGCTCGGGGTGCTGAGGACAATCCTCTAGGAGAGATATAGCCACTTCAACCTGTTGAATCAAAAATGTGATGTCCTGTACAAGTTCATCTCTCAGAGAGTGTGGCCTGATGGCTCTAGGCTCTCGCCTGGTCATCTGGGAATCCAGGGGTGTCTCCCAGCTGTCAGGAACTGCACCTCCTTCAGACTCAGTTCTGGCAGTGGCATCACATGGCAATGACTTGAGTGAACCCTGGGGTCTGATCTGAGATGGATGGCCAGGGGCAGTGGACTTTGAGAGCTTCCCCTGGTGCGCAGCAGAGTCCTGCCGGCGATTCCGCTTGTTCTCTATCAGAGCTTTGTTCCAGGCCAAGAGTAGAGAGTCATTCTTCTTAATCCGGTGCCGTGCATCTTTGCCCTCTTTGTTCTTCAGGTTCAAGTTGATGTCAAACTTTACCAGCAGGTCTATCAGCTTCTTCATGCGCTTCAGCATGCCCCTCTGAAAGACGATATGCATCAGCGTGTTCCCATTGCTGTCCTGGATGTTGGGGTTGAGGTAGCAAAATTCAGTGGCATTGAACCAGAATAGATCCAACAGGTGGCTGAGGAAGCTAAAACCAATGTCAGCTGAAAGACACAAATAAAACCCCTTGAGCACTGAGCCACACTTCTCAGAGGACAACATACTCTGGGCTTGAGAGAGATGCCAGCTTGGAGCATCTCACAACACTGAACTTCCCCCAAAATATGATACTCATTAAAGAACCCAGTGGTTCTCAACCAAGGATGATGTGCTCCCCAATGACATCTGACAATGTCTATAGACATTTTTTATTGTCCCAATCAGGGTGGCGCCACTGGCAGTTAATATGTTGAGGCCCTCTATGCTACTAAATATCCTACAATGCATAGGATAGCCCCTTACAACAAAGAATTATCCAGCCCACATGTCAATAGTATCTCATTAAATTACCATATAATATTCTAGTAAGATCCTTCATAACAGGACACTTGAAAATGGTATAAATAAATGGAAAGTACTTGTCAGCTACCAACAGCCAACTCTGGAACTTAGGAATCCTCAACAGACTGAGTGCAATGGTTCAAGCCTGTAATCCCAGCACTTTGGGAGGCCGAGGTGAGAGGATTGCCTGAGCTCAGGGGTTCGAGAACAGCCTGGGCAACTTGGTGAGACCTCATCTCTACAATAAATCAAAAAGTAAACCGGGTGTGGTAGCTACTTGGAAGGCTGAGGTAGAAGGATCATCTGGGCCCAGCAGGTCGAGGCTGCAGTGGCTGTGGGCGTGCCACTGCACACCAGCCTGGGTGAAAAAGTGACACTCCAACTCAGAAAAAAAAGAATGCTCAGTTAACCCATCCTAACCATTCACCATGATAGAAACTTCTTCCCATCATACTATACATGAGGGACTAGGGGATATGGGCAGGCATGGCCAAGAAACGAGGCTTTTTCAGATCACTGGTTTTCACAAAAGAAAAGGCCACAAAGCACAGGATCAGTTCTAATAACCAACTTCCTCCTCAAGGAAAGGACTGCTTAAAATGCAAGGGCTTACCATTGATATCTAGAAAGATGTGGAGTGCTGCATGCAAAGGAGTATCACCTTCTGTGAGAGAAAAACCACGGGGGTCTGCACCCTTGGTCAAGAGAAGAAGAGCCAACTCGAAGTCCTCATGTTTCAGGCTCATGACAAGTGGCCTCTCCTGGTTCTCCTGGAGACCATCAGGCAAGGCTAGGAGAAGACAGAAAGGAAGGGCACCATGAGCTAGACCCCATGAGGAGGCACAGCTTAGCTCACCTGATGAGGGAGGCACCACTTCAGCTACTCAGGTGCAAGAGAAGAGCTGATGCTGACCTAACTTCCAAGATCTTCCTACCACTCTTTCCGGGGAGGCAAGGCTTCCTGTCACCCCCAGGGTGAAAACCCGGCTGCTGGCCCCCAACTTCTCCAGCTCCCCATCTCATCCCACCACAGAAGCACAGTTCCCACCATCAGCATTGCCCTGGAGTGAGTTCAGGGCATGAGAACAACTAAACTCCCACGTTTGCCTAACACCTTTCCTGACACACAGTTGGTGTGAGCACACTTCCAGCATCCCTTACTTCTACTAAGCTCCAATCCTCAACTGCCATCTTCCCTGACACCTCTCCACCCCCATATCACCTTCCTTTTAGCTCAATTCACAGAGCCCCTCTGCACGGAGTCTCCCTGACCTCCACCAGAAGGCAGACCCACCCACTGCAGATCTGCAGCCCCCGTGGATGTGCTTCCAGCAGCTGTGTGTTCACCTCTGTAGACCTGGTTCCTAGGACCTGATCCTGGGAGGTGCTCTGTAAGTGCTTGCTCAATCAAGGAATAAAACAGAAATTCCACAACAGCCATAGTTTATGGGCAAAGGAAATAATACTCCATGCAAGGAAGGGGTATGAAGAAATAAATTGTAGAAGCCACTCATTTGCCTCCAGAAAGCTGTGGGCAGCGTGAAGGGCTAAGGGCTTTGCTCGGTGTTTGCACTTTGAGGGCTGAGGACTGATGTGTTACTGCTCCTTACAAAGGACATTGCCCCTTACAGGGCAAAGCAAGCAGAAAATCACAGCCAAGGTACTCTTTGAAAAGCCTGAACACGTTACCTCATTTATATTCAAAACAGCCCTAAGGGCAGGGCTTGGTGGCTCAGTCTATGATCCCAGCACTTTGGGAGGCTGAGGCAAGTGGACTGCCTGAGCCCACAGGTTTGAGACCAGCCCGGGCAACTTGGCAAGACCTCATCTCTACAATAAATCAAAAATTAGCTGGTCGTGGTAGCACGTGCCTGTAGTTCTAGCTACTTGGAAGGCTGAGGCAGAAGGATCACCGGAGCCCAGCAGGTCAACACTGGGGTGGCTGTGATTATACCACTGCACTCCAGCCTGAGCAACAGAGTGAGACTCCAACTCAAAAAAAAGAGAAAAAAACAGCCCTAAGAAAGAGGGATGTTATCATTCCCATTTTACAAATAAGGACATGAAGGCATAAATAGCATGCCCAGGGCCCCAGAGTTAGTAGTGGCATTAGCAGGGGGTGTAAGGGATGGAGTGGAAGGAGGTTGGTGTTTCTAAATTAGGTTGAAAAATCCAATCCTGCAAGATGTCTGCACACTCCAGACACACACCCAGCCATGTGTGATTGTTCTGATTAAAGCAGCAGATGCTTCCACCCACCAATTACTTGGCTGTTTCTTTAAAATCAAGCATCTCAAATCCCAATCTGTTGATTAGGGGGAAAAAAGCCACAAGAGTTGACAAAGATTCACACAGCATATTCAGTGCAGGGAAAAGTCTAGCCAGAGGTCAGGAGGAAATGACCGCTGGGAGCTAAACCAGAGCCAAGGACCCTCCACATACTGTGTTTTCCACACAAAAGACAAAGAGAAAGGTGGCACCTGCAAACTGAAAAAAAAAATGTAGAGTTCCTATAGGGCAGAAACCTCTATCACTGTTGCAAAACAAGAAGATAAGGAGAGAGAATGAGGTAGAACTTCAGGGTGTCTCCAACAGTAAGGGAAGATCAGGCAGTGGCCTGACTCCCCCATCAGGACAACTTGGACCTCTCTCTAAGACTCATCAGCTAGTCATTCTCACCTCCATTGTCTATCAGGCAGCCCAGGAGCAGTGTCTTCCGCTGGTCCCAGGCACTGAGGAGAGGGACAACAGTACAGATGTCGAGGTCCGAGAAGTTGCAGTTTTTCATAAGGCAATCTCCAAGTGGTGGCTCCCCACTTATTTTGCGGGTGAGCAGCAGAAGCACTTCAGGCCATTTCTGTTTTTCCAGTAAGAATTTGATGATGGTGTTGGCACAGTCTCGATTAATGCCACAGACCAGGTCAGAAGAAATTTCTTTCAAAAGAATAAAACACATCCCAAAAATGTTCATATGATTTTTTCCACCCCCAACTACAACCTAACACCCACATATAATTAACATGGATTTAAGTCAGTATTTTTCAGCACTGGGGTAACTATAAACAAGTAATTAATTACTTTGAGCACATTACTTCACCTTGAGACTTCTTAAGAAGGTTAGAAATATATGAAAGCTGGGCTCGGTGGCTCAGCCTGTAATCCCAGCACTTTGGGAGGCTGAGGTGAGAGGATTGCCTGAGCCCACGGGCTCAAGACCAGCCTGGGCAGCTTGGTGAGACCTCATCTCTACAATAAATAAAAAAAAAATATTTTTTAATTAGTCAGGAGTAGTGGTGCATGCCTGTAGTTCTAGCTACTTGGAAGGCTGAGGCAGAAGGATCACCTAAGCTCAGCAAGCCGAGGCTGCAGTGGCTGTGAGCATGTCACTGCACTCCAACCTGGGTAACAGAGTGAGACTCCAGTCAAAAAAAAAAAAAAAAGCAGAATGCTTGAGTTCAGAGTATTCTATTGAGATCAAAGGGGCAAAAGCCTGACTTAAATTTTGCATAATATGATGACTGTACCCTGTTTAACAAATACTGAAATACAGGATGATACTATAGAATAATTCAAAAGTCAGGAGTTGTAGGGTGATCATGAAAGGATGGTTTATTCCTCAATTCTTAATTTTTTTTTTTTAAGGTGGGAAGACCACCTGAACTCAGGAGGTCAAGGCTGCAGTGAATTCTTAATTTTTTAATATGATATGTGTTTCCATATACTCTTTGAGGTCTAGAGACAGGATACTGGTTATCCCATTTTATACTGTTGGTGAATCTTAATGGTGGAAAACTTTAAAAATAGATCTTCAGATTTAGCAAATAAAAACAGAGGATGTCAGTTAAATTTGAATTTCAGATAAACAACAAATAAAGTTTTAGTGTAAGTATATACATGTAATGATTTGGACATACTTATACTAAAAAAAATTATTCATTGCTTATCTGAAATTCAAATTCAACTGGGTAGTCTGTATTTTGTCTGGCAACCCCACTAGTAAAAAAGCAAAGGAAGAGCAGAAGGGGAAAAAAAAATCAAGGATTACCTAAATAAGAGCAACTTGATTTGCATTTGCTAGCTTTTGCTTCTCATCTTTCCCCAAATTTTCTAAAATGAATATTCATTTTAATATTTAAAATATTCATTTTAAAATAAGAAAAAATTAAATATAGGCTAGTCTATCTTATTTTAACAGGAATTCGAATAAAAGTGTAAAAGGCAAACTTTTAAAATAGGCATTTGTGATTTTTGTTCCCCAGAATCCATTCGCTTCCTCTAGTAATAGCACTCGCCCACCCTTCAGCATACTCTACTGAGGTAAAGATGGGATATAATAGCATATGGGTCTAAGCCAATCACGACTCTTCATCCTCGACCATAGTTATTGGGTCAGAAGTACACATTGTGATCAAAAGTGAAGCCTAAGACATTTGTTCAAACCACTGAGAAAGAGAGATGGGTCCATAAATACAGAAATGCTGGACAAGCCAGAGATTAGAGACCTCGACCTCATCTCCACAGAGAGTCTGAGACGGACAGTTGAGTTTAAAAATGGGGAATAGTGGACCCTAGTGACATTTAGGATTAGGTCTCTGAAGCCAGCTACACCTGAAACCAGCCTGAGTTTTCAAGTAAGAGAATCAAAAAGATTTACTTTTTTGCCAATTTAAGACAGTTTGGGTTTGTTACTTCTAACAGAAACTGTTCTAAATACCCTACCCTATGGCCAATAAGGAAACAAAGAGGGGAGAAAGGAGAAAAGTAAAGAGAAAAAAAAGTCAAAAAAAATTGGGTAAGTTAGAGACCCACTCAACTCTACAAGAGAGTTGGGGTAAAGATACAAAAGTAAGGAACAGAGAGGAAAAGAGAGAAAATAACCTAGCCAACACACACATCAACATACACAATACAAAGAAAACACAGGAACTACAGACCATAAGACACAAAGGACACTGAAGAAGCTTCAATCCTACCTTGTGGTATTTTTACCAAATACCAATAAATCAGGTTATGTTTTCACAACTGTAGCGTAAATGAGGACAGTCCTAATGGGTTAAATGACATTAAGTTCAAAAACAAAAGGCTCCCTAGATGCATTTTCTACACAATGTCTGTATCTAATAGATCCCATGAAAGATGGCCCCATCCTAGAGTTTTGTGTGTGCCATTTGTCTTTGACCCACTGATATCCAAGAAAGATCTGGCTGACAACCTAGCCTTACCTCAACCCACCCTAACAACCAATAAGTATTAACATTTTATGTGCAGTACAACGAGTAAGTATTCTACACCCCTATCTCTTAGTTCCCCAGCCAAGGTGGAGATAAGGAGATGAAGAAACCAAAGCTGTGAGAAGTTAAGTAATTAGCCCAAGGTCACAATTCTGGTAAGTGGTAGAATCAGGACTCCAATGTTAAAATCCGAGCCTTAAAGACTATCAACTGCTGCATACCCTGAGAAGTATTTTTGGTTCCTTAGGCCATGCCTTTCTGCACTGTTTGTAAAACTGAGACATCTCAGCTTTATAAAACATCAATTTAAAAAGTGCTCAATTTTACCCGCTTAGGATTTCTGGAATCTTCCCAAATTATCTAAAGTTTGTAATCTAAAGTTTTTTTTCCTGATTTTCCCATAATTAAAAAAGTGAACATTCAATTCTATTGATAACTTTATACTCCAACATTAGCCAATATCTATAGAAGACAGAAACATCTGTGGTATTTAAAAAATGACTATATATGCAAAGAGTAATTCTAGGAGGACATGAAAAACTAGTAACAGAGGTTACCTCTGGGGATGGGATTTTAAACTGAAGTTTCGAGAGTACATAACTAACTTTTTCACTGAAGAATATTCTGTGCTGTTTGAATGTTTCACATGTAGATACATTACATTTATTTTTTAGTTATTTTTCAGAAAGACATCAGAAAAGAGTTTTAATGACCATAAATCATCAATACAATTGAATTTTGTGGAAAAAAATTACCTTGCAGAGAAGAAAGGAGGCGCAAAAACCTCTGAACAACTTCTTGCTTCATAAAGGTTTTATGCGATAACCAGTTTCTTGAGTTCATGTGCCTCACCAGCTGTTCCAAGGATTTCCTGTAAATGTCAGCCTCACTAGTAGCTCCATTACAGTTGCTAAGACCTACAAAACAGCACCAGGTGACGGTTTTAAATACAGAAATTGTAGCTACAGTGATCGCAAAAATTACAATTCTCTACCCCCTCCGTGTATCCACATGCTTTGCAATGTGACTTCGCTGCTCTTCCCATTGAGAAGCGATGCCTGTGTCCCCTTGGCTCTCCCTTGATTCTGGCCTGGCTTCATGACTTGCTATGACCAACAGAATGAGGTGTGAAGTTTGTGCCAGCTCAGCACTTGGGCCTCAAGAGGCCCTGAATACTTTTTTTGACTCTCCTGAGACTTTGGCCTCTACCATGTGAAAAAGTCCAGGCTATCCTGCTGAGAGATGAGAAATAACACAGAACAAAAAGGAATCAGCTTAGCTGTCCAAACTGAAGCCCCACAGATGTGAAAGAGCCCAGTCAAAATCACATAAGACTATAAAAACTTGAAGAAATTCAATTAAGTCTAAAGAACAGGGAACAGGTGGCAGGTGGTGGTTCACCACATATAATCCCAGCACTTTGGGGAGTTGAGACGGGAGAATCACTTGAGGCCAGGAGTTCAAGACCAGCCTGGGCAGTATAACAAGACCCCTATCTCTACATACACAAACACACACACACACAAGCTAGGCATGGTGACACATGCCTGTAGTCCCAGGTACTAGGGGGCTGATGTGGGAGGATCACATGAGGCCAGGAGTTTGAGACCAGCCTAAGCAACATAGTACAATCTCCTCCATCTCTACAAAAATATATATATATATTAAAAGCCCAGACTAAATTGCTGACCTGCAGGATCATGAGCTAAATAAATGCCTGTCATTTTAAGCCACTAAATTTAGGGAGTTTTTTTTATACAGTAATAGAAAATTGATATAACAACTCAGGAAATGACAGCAGGAAAACAACTTAGTACAAAGGTAACATCCAACTACCCGCCAGCCATCCAAACTTATATGTCTTACTGGCAAGTGGAAAAAGTCAAGCTCAGTAAGGAGCCATTCCTCTGCCCAAGGAAGGGAAGACAACATCCCCTTGGTTTAATTTATTTGAGAAAGTAATCATGAGAAAACACCCACTGATGAAGCAGTGAAAAAAGAATAATTTTTTCATTTGGTGTCAGTTTATACACTCAAAAAAGCATTCTTAGTTTAAATGGAATCTTACTGAACAGACAGGAAGGCAAACTGGACATCTATTTTCACACCAAATGAAAAGGGTCTGGTCCACAGGAGAAGTGCTATCATGGTTATAAAGAGATGAGCAAATGTTCAATACCATGTTCTCTCACAGCAGAACACAACAGAAAGAGATAGACTAGGCGGGGTTCGGTGGCTCAGCCTGTAATCCCAGCACTCTGGGAGGCCAAAGCAAGTGGATTGCCTGAGCCTGCGGGTTCGAAACCCACCTGGGCAACTTGGCAAGACCTCGTCTCTACAATAAAACAAAAATTAGTCAGGCATGGTACACACACCTGTAGTTCCAGCTACTTGGAAGGCTGAGGCATAAGGTATACCAAGATCCTATACTATACCACTGTCCTCCAGAAAAGAGAATGGTAACCAACTGGCAAAGAAAACTCACTGAGATGGAAAACGTGTGTGGCATAACACTGTCTGGCCAGCAGGTCGAAGCTGCGGTGGCCGGGAGCATGCCACTGCATTCCAGTCTGGGCGACAGAGTGAGACTCCAACTCAAAAAAAAAAGGGTGGATTCCTTGAAAATAAGAAGGAAATGAAAAGCATCCTGCAGTCAGGCTCCCAAGCAACAACGGCAAGTCAAGGATTTGTAAGCAAGTCGTTTATTAACAAGGAAGACCAGTAAGAGAGGAGGGGAAGCAGGACAGGAGTAGGAGAGGAAGCCAAACAAGAGTGTGAGGCAAAGTCCCACAGAGGGTGCCATCAGCCTTATCCCATAGGGAAGCTCTGGAGTGTGAGACACCTAAGAGTTGTCCCTCGGCAAGGCAAGAGAAATGGACTTCCATATTTTCACATCTATTAGTCACTGGCTACAGACTGCCTTGGGAGGATGCACATTCCCAGGCACTTCTGGTTTGAAGGAACATGAGCAAAATAGGCTCCACAGGCCCAAGGACACTCCCATGAAAACAAGCCTTAGAATGCTGACCATTCAACATGAAGGCACACCAATGTCAAGGAGCACACAGAAATGGTAAAACAGATCCAAGGGGACCCGAGCAGAGCTCCAACATCTGCTACACCTTCTGACACACATCTGAATCACACTGCAACAAATCAAATCAGAACACCAGAAGCAAACACACTCCCACTTCTGAGGCAAATCAAGAGAGCTTCAGCTGCCTGGCAGAAGCAAGATCCACTATACCACTGTCCTCCAGAAAAGAGAGAATGGTAACCAACCGGCAAAGAAAACTCACTGAGATGGAAAACGTGTGTGGTATAACAATGTCTGGCTAGCACCCCTGGGCTTTGCCTCCCATCTTCATCCCAAAATACCTATGAAGGCAGAAAGCAACGAAAATTCACAGTACCGGAAAAATATGATCCTTGGTAAAAGAAGAACTTCCTTCACCGTCAAGTGGATGAAAACTTGTTTTTTGTCTCCCCACACCATAACCACAAAAGCTTTTCAGAAACATCATTCTTCCCCCAGGAAAAATTAGTTTAGTATAAAAGTCACATTAAAATGAACAGAGACACATCAACCTTGGCAACGAGACAATTTGATGCAGCTGTACAGTAAGTGATTACATGGCTCAGACTAGTTAAGAAGGCAATTATAGATCAGAGAATGCTCCAAACATCATGAAAGAAATCAGAGAATGGAATCATAGAAGAAACATTGCTAAATACTGACAAATGGTACTCCCTGGGTAGGAAGACTGGGAGTAACTTATTTGTTTCACAGAACTTCTGTTGTTGTTGTTTTTTCCAGATGTCCTATAAGCTTAATAAGAGACAAAAGAAACATCAGAATACAAAGTTGCTTATGCATTATAATCACAGAGTTTTATTTTTTGTATTTTTTTTAGTTGGAGTCTCACTCTATCACCCAGGCTGAAGTGCCATGGCACACTCACAGCCACCCCAGCGTTGACTTGTTGGGCTCTGGCAATCCTTCCACCTCAGCCTTCCAAGTAGCTGGAACTATAGGCATGCACTACCACGCCCGGCTAATTTTTGATTTATTGT